CGAGAAAAAAAAACGACCGCTTGGTTGAATAGAGGTAGTGTGACGGTCGACCGCCCGAACATATCAGACGTCGAACTTGAGTAAATTCGACCTAGACTGTCAGATGTCCCGCTAATCTCTTCTCTGCCGCGTGATATCAGCCTTTGAAAGGTAAAAAGGCGCGGCGCTGGTGTCGACGATTTGCACTCGGGGTTTCAACATGGGACGGATCTGTCAGATGAATGATGGAGAAGAGAGTGTCCGAGACGTGATCATGATGGTGTTTTGCTGACAGGAACAGAACGGTGATCGTTAAAGCTTGGAAGGGAGGTTGCTAGTCCGGACTTGACGGTCTTTTCCTTAGTATCAACCAAAGGAGGCATTAGTCTAGAGGTAGTGGCCAGAGAATGGAATGTTGACTGAACTTCAAGTTAATGCTTTCCTTGCCCTCTCGTTTGCTGTTGCTTTCTCTTCCCAGCTAGTCAGCAAATAAGCGTCGTTTGCAGTAGTGCTGTGAATGGAAGGACTTGCTATCGTAGACTGCCTGTAGATACAGAGGCTCTTGTCAGCTTTGTTACTAAGGTCCGCTAGACAGTCTAGAGGTGCTGTTCCAATCATGACAAGCACACATTTCAACTTCAGGGACTACGTCAATGCAAGTTCGCAACGAAAGTGTTATCCATGGTAATGTTATTGGTATACCCTTGAACCGACAGAATAATCTCTACTTGATCTCTAAGCTAACAATGCTGTATTCCAGAATCGAGAAGTAGAAAGAACCAACGTGCAAGCGAAAACGCCACATAACTATGCTGAAGGCAACCGTCCGACTCCCGGCTCATTCCTCAATGTATACAAATGCTGCACTCCCAAGCCTGACGATCAAACGAACACAAACAACCAGCCTCGACAACATATAAACGCCATAAGTATGCTCTGATAACGCCTCCCTTTTCTCTACCTAGCCGTGTCCAAAACAAAGTGCCCCGAATCAAATCAAAATCCATCCAACGCAAAATCATCCGTAAAACCTCCATTGAGTAGAACCGCAGCCAACCTCCGTCTCTGCAGCGTGAGCTGCCCTGCAGTATATGACTTCTTGGGATTAAGCCCAAGTGCAATGCAAAGAGCATTCGTGATGGTGAAGACGCCACAGTCGTACCCGTTGGTTTGACGTGGAGCTTCGTAGTCAATGGCCGACCATTCTGACGCGACCCATTTGTCCTCAAGTGTGACTCTGACCCATTCAAGCAGTTTTTCTTTGATAAGTTTGTCACCGGCGCCCGCTCGCATCGAGTCCAGGTGCGCCACGGTCCGCTTGCCCGGCCGTACAACCGCCAACGTCCAATGTGCGCCGTCGCAAATGGGAATGAGTATCGTGTCGATGTCGAAAAAGTTGTTCTTCCTGACACCTGCACGGCGCATCAGGCGCCCGCACTGGCTCGGCCCAGCATCAACAAGCCGTGGCCAAAAGTACGACGTGAAAGCTGCACATTTGGGGTCGGAGTCTTTGGCCCCTGCCGATTTATTGACGGCATTAGCAATATGGGAAATACTGCCAATGATGACGTTGTCGTTGAGCCAGGCTTGAGGCTCCAGCAGCTTCTCAACAAAGTCTCGCTTCGTGAGAGGCTGCCCGTCCAGCATCTTTGCGAGTTCCGCGGAAGAGTTGGCATAGAGGACATTGGAGACTTTCTTCTCCCAATCGTTGCTCAAGCTTCCGATCAGGGGGCGTTTGGGTACGCGCAGACCGGTCCGCGAGGCTTGATCTTCCTCTTCGCGGCGCCTCCTGCTTTCCTGTTCTTGTCGCCGCTTCTCCTCCCGCCGTTTTCGCTCTGCTTCCTTGTGCAGTCTTTCGGCTTCCCTGTGCCGCTCCTCGATGTCGCGGCGAATGCCATTCTCCCACTCGCGGGCCAGTTGACGACTGACCTCCAAATCCTCGAGCTTTTTGGTGGCAATTGCGAGGTCATCGTCAGCCGCTGACTGCTGAACCTGACTGGTTGCTGAGGCCTGCTCCACCGAAGGGTTGGATCCGCGTCGAGATGGTCCAGAGACAGCTCCCTCTGTAGCCGGGATATCTTCTTGCTCGGCCTTTCGGAAGAGCCGATCGAGCATTGATTTCTTCTCCCCTCGTGCCCCTTGAGTCGTCTTTTCGTTCCTTTCCTGTCGAATTTTTTGCAGAATTTGTCTGCGGGCCTTGAAGTCAAGCTCCGGCTTTGGGTGTTCCTGAGCACCGCTGGCCTGAAAATTTTCCAACATTTCTTGCCGGATTTCACTGAGGAAAGGACCATATTTGGCCTCGTGAACCCGGAGTCCCATCTCCGCGTCATCTCTTTCGACCTCCTTTTCTGTCCATCTGGTCATATCCGAGACGGTAAAGCTTCTGCTTTTGTCAACCTTTGCGAAACGATGAAGGTCTCTGGTGGTTGGTTCTGCGTTCCGGTTCGCATTGTTTTCGCGGTCATGGACGTAACTTTCGGTAGGATGGTGCCACTGCACATTGATGGCATCTTTAAGGCTCATCACTTGCACAGGTACTTCTTTAGGCGGCGCGTAGCTCGCCACAGGCGCAACAAAGTCGAGTCTTTTGTTTCTATCGGGGGTGGCGACATACTTTGTTGGCGATTCAGGAGTCGGCCATTTTTTGGGCTTTTTGAGGATGCTTTTGGGTTCCAGTACAGGTCGGAACTCCTTGACATTGATTGATGCAGGTTCCGTCTCCTCCTGATCAGTTGAGGGATATTTGAATTCCCACCTATACGCAAAACTGAGATCGTCGATAGGAACATCTTCGAAAGCGGCGTCCGGGCCGGTGGGGAAGGTTCCGGGAATTGAGGATGATTCGTTTGCCGTGGGCTTGACATAGCTGGGTATGATTTCGCGCTTGTGGATGGCATTGGTATCCACGAAGACCTTTGATAAAGCTTCTTCGAAACCTTCCATCCCGTGCATGTGGTTTCGCAGCACCCATGAGATAAACTCGGCGGCCACTCTGGCCTTCTCGTGCAATGACCTGGTGTTCTTCTCCGGCTTGGTGTCTTCTCCATAAGCGATTGTTCGCGGTGGTTTGGGAAACAACACTCTGTACGCATCAAGGTTATGCTGTATGTAGATGTCCTGCATCAGCTCGTAGGCTGTACAGGCGCCATCGAGATACAACTTTCGTGCCTCCTTATATCTCCATTCCCGTTTCTTTGTGCTGTCGGTAGGAAGCACAGGCCCAATACTTGGAGTGTCGGTCATCAGTTTGTGCATTGCGATGTTGAGTTGGAGGTCTTCTCCTTTGTTGGGGTCGAAACTCCTCCTGAGGTCGTCGAGTGAGTGGCTATATGTGACCAGGGAGCGACTAATCAAATCGATGCGATGGTGGAAAACATTGGCGATGTGGTCGAGCGCATCTCGTCCGACATACGAGATTGCGTCGTCGGCCCAGGAAAAACCCGGGAGCTCGTTAGAGTATGCATCGGTTGAAGGCGTACAGTGTCGTTTCAATCTCTTGACTGACACGGTGCCGTTGGTATCGTCAACTTTTCGTGTGTCAACGATGTCGTAGTGGGTTTCACCCGGGAAAAATCCAGAGATGAAATTCCGGACAGCAGTGAATGGGGTGGCCATCGTGATCAGGGCCCGAGTAGCGAGGGCGAAAGGGTTCATCCAGGAGCTTTCCATGGGCGTTTCGGACGATGGCGCTGGCTCTTGCTCTGGCGTCTGTGGATGGGAAACTTGGTCAGCGTCTCTGCTCATCTTCTCTCGCCTGTCCTTGATCAAAACAGGGGAAGAACTTACACTATCATCAACTGCTGCAGGCAGGACCCGTTCCACCGCCTTGTGCTCAACGTTCTCAGAGATGAGCTCAAGCTCGCCAGCCTCCGCAACGCGCTTTCCGTTGTCGTTAAGACGGGGCTCGTGGTGCCGGCTGAGTAGCTCTTGGTAGACTGGCCAGTAGTTGTGCGCGTCGCGGCACTCGCAATGCCAGTGAGGATCAGCGGGTTGTTGAAGAACAGACAGCTTGGATGGGTTCTCGTCCGCAATGTAGAATCGGATGTGACCGGTAGCAGCAAGTGCGGCCTCTTTGGATGTGTAGATGGTCGGCACAGGGCAGTGGCAATCGCGCATGAAGTGCTGATTTCGGATTGCAATGTAGAGTTCGTGGGCGAACCGGACGCCTTCTTGTTCCCGTCGTGCGTCGAAGAGGGGGGTCTCAACCGGTAATGGAGAGGAGACAGGAGTGGCGATGTTGTGGAAGGTATTGAAGGAGGTGCAACCGCGAGAGCGGCGCGAAAAGCGAATTCTGACCATTTTGCAAGTTGTGAGCAGTGATGTTCTGACTTGTTGGTTTGTGTTGTTTGGGGGAAAGAGGAGAGAGGGAACTTGAGAAGCGTGGGATTACCTATCAGCCCAGGTTTCAGTTCGGGACCGAACCTACTCCTGTTGCCCGAACCCCTAATCGATTGGATTCGCGACCTGAGGCAGCGCGCGCGTGTCCAGTCCTATGGGCGCGTCTGGCTGCTGTAAAGGAGCTCTAGGGTGGGGCAGTAGCACCTATATCGTCACTGAAGGAAGGCGCGGTGGCCCGGTGTGGGTCCACTGTTCCTTCCCTATTACAGCGCTGTAATACCAGCAAAACAGTGCCGCTATGGGGGATACCAGTCGCGACGGCGCATGGACGCGGAAAAACGAACAAATGTGATGATATCGCCAAATGTGCGATGCAGCAGGAAAAGAGATGCTTTGGTGTTGAGGCTTGCTGTGCGAGTGGAACAAGACATTCCCGGTCATACCCCATTCCCGCCGCAACGCTGCAAGAAGCGCGGCTGTTGATTGGTGGTCGGCTCGCGCTACGATTGGTTCTTCAAGCCTCAACATGCCCCTGCCGCAACCCACACTCCCCGTGCTCCCGCCAGTTGGGGCTTAGCGCTATCCCTCACCACCCACCCATGTGCTGGCATCGGCATCCTCTCTTCCGTCATCGCGCCCATGCAATTGGTCCATTTCGTAGCTCGCGATGACCGGTGCACGGGCCATATCAATCCTGAAACCAGCTCTGGAAGCTTGACAACATTTGTTCGTATACATAGTCGGTGATAGATACTGTAACTATATAAAGTGGATGTGGTCGCTTAATGATCGACCACACATCAGACTTCGCAAACGGCCACCATGTACTACATCAACTTTGATCCGTCTTCGTATACTACACACAACGAGCAATCTACTAGGAAGCACGTGTCTTGAACCTTCAATCCTCTTTCTAATGTTCCTCTATAATGTCAAGCAGTTCGCCAACGACAAATGAAAGAACCCGTGCAACGTAGATCCTGCCTAAAGAATATTGAGAAGGCTGCAAAACGACCCAAGTGACATTGCAAACTTTTCCGGTAGCCACATCCAAACCCAGCGGCCAAACGTCTAAATGCTCAACAAAGGACCGGAAATCTTTCTGCAAGGAGATGCTTGCAATGCCAAACACATCCCTCGCTTGTTTTGTTCATTGGCAAGTTGGTCGGGCAACCCAGTCGACCCACAAGGTGGTCCCTGTGTTGCCGACCTCCCACCCATTATCCCCAAGCTCATCCCCCATCATTATACGTCCCCAAACGCTTCGAAATCGCGTTTACTTGGCGAGCTCTACACCCGACGTAGCTCCGAGGGACTTCTTGACATCGCCTGCGTGTTTCATGCGTTAGATTAGGTGCTACTGCTGGTGTTGAGATGGGAATAGGTGCTAGAGGAATCCGGGTTAAGGGTGATGCTTTGGGCCGCGCGCAACGACAACCCGACACCCTCCAGGATTCCCAATACCACCACAAGCCCATCTCGCTGGCGAGAATAAGGAGGAACTTACCATAGATGGCGAACTGGAAGGCAGTAAGGGTGCCGACCATGAAGAGACGGGCACCGATACCGGTGTAAGAGCCCTTGAGGCCGAGCTCCTTGGCGATCTTGACGAGACGAGAGGTGGTGGACTCGCCGGGAGCACCGGGGGTCTGAGAGTGAAGCACGTTAGCATAGTCCGGCTGGGTATTGGATTGTCTGACATAGTTACCTTGTTGATCTTGGAGAGCATGGTATCGGCAGGCTGGGAGACGATGGCAGCGGCGAAACCGGCAATGAGACCGGAGCCAAGGTTGACGGCGGTCTGGGCAGAGTCGGACATATCCTTCTTGGGGTAGACGCTGTAGACGGCCTCGGCGACCTTCTCGTAGACGACGAACTTGGACATGGTGTAGGGGATCCTGGAAGAAAAAAAAGCACGGTTAGGGGCATGTTATTATGACCGGAACATGGGCAACATGGCGACTTACTGCTTGAAGAGAATGGGTCCGAAGCCGGCGTAGAAAGCGCCGATACCCTCGTTCTTCAGCATCTTGCCGAAGCCGCTGATGAGGCCGCTGGCATAGGTGGGCTGGGAGACGAGACGGATACGGGTAGCCTCGAGGGGGCAGAGGGCAATGTCGGCAAAGAACTCGGCAGCGGCGGAGGAAGCGAGGTAGACGGCAGTGCGGTTGTTGGTGGCGGTCTCAAGGCCGAGCAAGTTGATGCTCTGCTGCTTGAAGAACTCGTAACCACCGAACTTGAAGGCACCCTGGAGGAAGTAACCAGCAAAGGTAGGGCCGACACCGGTGAGGAGGGCACCGGCACCCTCGTTCTGGACGACCTTCTTGAAGCCACCGATCATGCCATTGTTGTAGGTGACGGGGTCGAGCTGAATGCGAGTCTTGACGCTGTTGTTATGCAGACGTGTCAGCAGCGCGATTCGTGATATCTACGAGACAGAGGCGCTGGGCTGCGGGTTCAATGCGCCCAATGCCTTGACGGTGTATACATAGGCTGAAGGCGGGACAACATACACATCGACAGGGGTGAGGGCACCGTGGGTGACGGAGCAGCAGATGGCACCAGCAAGAGCGAATCTGCCGTAGAGGCTGGCAGCGCTCATCTCGGGAGCAGCAGCGGCCTTGGCCTTCTCGACGACGGCGTCGACCTTGGGGGTAGAGGGGGCCATTTTGGATATCTGGGTTTGGACGACAAACAAAGACTGAGTGGAGATGGGTTGACGGGGAGGAAAGAGGGCAAAAAGAGCAATCGGGCGGGAAAGTCGTTCGCGACGGAGGTTGGCGATTGAGCCTTTTTGGAGAGTGGAGGTGGACACGGAGGCACGGGAGGGTGGAAAGGCCGGCGCTGCGGAAAAACAATCAGAGACGCCAGCCGAAAAAAATTGGTCCGATAATTCCCGGGACAGGTATTGGCCAAGTACCGGCCCGCAGCGGCCTTTGTACCCTTCTATTCCATGCCCCGGCCGATCTGGTGCTCCATAGCGTCCACCAGCCAGGGCAACAGGGCCGAAAGTGTTTGAGAGAGACCCACGAGACGTCACAGCGCACACGATTTTACACTAGGGCGACTTCGGAGTTAACGACAAAAGGCACAATCCCATGACATTGGATCCAGTCCAGGACCGGGTACATACGCCGTCCAGGTGCGGTGAACCTGTCCACTGCCGCAAGTGGTAGTGTACAAGACGATTTAAAGGTAGAGGTAACATACCTCAAAGGTACGCGAGAAGAGGTGTGCATATTGTAAAGGATGACAACAGAGAGAACCTCGAGTGTACATCTTACCGCATGTATGAATTTTACGCTGATTGTTGCTTGTCGGAAACGAAGTGTTTGTGGCACGGCAGAATCCCCCAATTCATGCAGCCAACCTAGTAATGCAGGGAACCTTCAGCAGGTTGTCTACGCTCAGCCAAGCGCAATATAGAATGGCAAAAAAGAAGAAACCGAGGAAAGAGCAAGACCGCACCCCACCAACTATACACTAGAAATGGCAATCACAACCTCCAGCGAGAATAAGATTTTGAGATTAGACCTGGCACACTGCAGATTGCTCTTGTCCACCAATGTCTGCCGTGACATTTTGACACCGTTACATGTCACCAACACCACCACGTCGCATCTTGACCCGGACACCACACAACACATCCATCCCCTGCCTGGCGCCAACGATGACCCTCCTCCCGCTGCTGCACTGCCGAAGGGGTCAGCCTGTCAGCGTTGTCCCCTTCTGCATGTGCCTTGTTTGTCTTGCTGATTTGCCGTCGTAGGATTGGCTGCAGGGAACACGGATCTACGAACCGAACCACCATCCATCAATGTCAGGGCAGCCTGGAGTACAAAGGCTGTTGGAACGTTGAACAAGGCTGGCGCACTCGGGAAGAACCACACACCCTTCCGTCAGGCTACGAGAAGGTCGCCGAGGCCGTCTACAGCGTCTACCCCAAGAAGGATATGTCCGACTCTGCCCAGACCGCCGTCAACCTTGGCTCCGGTCTCATTGCCGGTTTCGCCGCTGCCATCGTCTCCCAGCCCGCCGATACCATGCTCTCCAAGACCTAGCCTTTTCAAAGGTAGACATATACCGACCCTGCCACTTGCTGAACTGGGTTTGAGTATTCGAGCATCGTTTTTGGCCTCTCGGGCCCTTTTACCACCCTAACCCATCTCTCAACACCATCAGTAAAGAATAGCACTATACAAACATAAGAGTCGGACAATAGTACACATGAGACCTGGTAATCTTCGCTAGGTGATAACTGTTTCTCTGATATGCAGGCCATGGCCACTCAGGTACCTACGGACGACAGGCACATGGACTGGTGTGCCATCTTGTATCATACCGACGCTGTAGCCGGTAACACGAACGTATCTACGGTATTGTACCACCAACGTATTGGGACAACAGGCCAAAACGTCAATCCGGGCATCCGAAGGCTTACATTGACAAAACGGACTGACGACTCTTCCGCTACTGGGCTCCCTTGGCTTTCCTCCGAAGCTCGTCTGCAAGTCTCAACAGATAAAATTCCCTCGCCTCAGCCGGCAGCTTCTGGAAGCTGTTCGCAATACGGGTTAAGTCCGTTCGGCCCTTTTCATAGGCCGCCAGATCTCTGTTCCCATACACATCTTTCCCAGCTGCATAGCAACCGCCTTCGAGATCGCGGAAGAAGACGTTTACCGCAATGCTGCTATCCGAATTAGGAGTCGCCGTGTGCAGCCATAGTGGGGGCAAGAAGAGGACGTCTCCTGGAGTCATGACAGTTTCGTGAGGATGCGTCACTTGAGCCAAGTATCTCGAGTCACTCGACTCCCCGAAAAGAGTAGAAAAGACATCGATACTGGAACTCGATGCCCCAGGAGCAAAACTGAGATGCTCAACATCGGACGGCGGGAAAAGAATCATGCGCTTCGAGCCGCCGATTTGGCAGTACACATTGGCCATGACCTAGTCGTGTCAGAATGCATACGGATATCCCGCAAACAGGTGAGAGGACTTACATCGTAATGCAACCACATGTTGACCGGCCCAGATACTCGTAGGACCGAGCTGAACAGTCTCTCGCCTACCAAGGCCAGCTCAGGCGGCAACACAAAATCAGTAGCCAACGAGGGAAAGTCGTCACTTAGAACGGCTGGCTTTTCCGTCGGTTTGTCGGTCGATAGCGCCCTCAGGTACAGCCGGTCACCTTTCTCAATGCGCCTCATGAAGTCGCCAAACTCGGTCGTTACGTAGCGGAAGTTCTTGGTGGTGAAATCCATTGCAGGTGTCGTGGACTCGTGGATCACGACCTAGGTAAGGGCTGCCCGTCAGTCAAGGGACATACTCGAGACAGTTTTGGTCATCATTTGCTTCCCCCTGCTCAACTCACCTTGCGGTCTGTCCCAACCTTCCTCGCAACGTAGTCACCGTTTCCCCATTGTGACACACAATCACCCAGATTTAGGCCCTCCAGAACCACCGGACGACCCTCACGTACGATCCTGGCGAAGTCTTCAGCATTTTCTAACTTGACCCGGGGTATGGGTTGATTGCGGACGCTTACGCTGCCACTGACCTCCCCCTCAGCACCGTTGGGTGCCTGATTACGGAGAGGAAGACTCCTTGGCTCACCGGGGATAATGTCGACTGTTTTCTCGTGCGCCCATCCATGTGCGGGGATGGGCGAAGCTCCATTCTCCACCGCAGCCGGCAGTGCCAGTTCGAGAGTCGAAATACCCTTGTTCCAGAAGGTTCCCATGGAGAAGCATGTTGCTCCGCCGCCCATGATCATCAAGCTGCCATCGTCCGGCGTGACAACTGGAGAAGTTCCCACCAACAACAAAGGGCCTGGGTGCGATGATGATTCAGCATTAGCGGCCTCGGGAGCGAGTCGTCGCGTGATTGTGAGTTCTCCGTCGCCCTTGAGTGAGCATAGCAGGATCTCGTCGTCCATATCCAAAAGGTGGTCCTTGATAACACCACCAAAGACCAAGAAGTCGGTCCGACTTTGGGGCAGGCAAGAAGCGCCAAACCTCGTGAGAAGTAGACGTGAGAGAGCCTCTTCGCGGCCATCATCACCAGATTTTACCTGTAGCGGAACAAAAGTGACGACCGGCTTGCTGCTGTCGGATACGTCCAGGTTCCATGCCAGAAGCTGATCAGCAATGAGGCCATCATCACTCAAGCCGCCAGCAAACACACCAGAGAACGAGTCACTCTCTTGACGCAGGCAAGCAAGGGTAGCGCCATACACCGAAGTCGGCTTGACGTCACCGGCAATCTCGCATCTGATCCATCCAAGCTTGGACTCATAGAGAAGCCAGTCAGGGAAGATATCGGCAACTCCCCTTCCACCGGCGAGCAGCGCCATGTCTGTCTTCCCCAATCTCGTGACAGAATGCCTGTAGAGCGGAATCGGGAGATCATTGGTGCGTTTCCATGCCCATTCACTCTCGCTGCCGTTAGTCTTCTCCAACAGCCAGCAGTCTTTGAGGGGCGTGGACGGTGATGCCCGTCCTCCCACGAGGAGTTGGGCAGTGCCGAGATCCGTCAGCGAGTGACACATTCTCGTTGAAGGGCCGCCTTCACGGAAAGTGAACGGCACCGCCGTCTTTTCTTCGTCAGTACCGTCAGCCTCGTCGGCATCTCCCACTTTCTTCCGTCCGTAAACATCGCAGTTCTGCAACCGGCTCTTCGTCCCCAGCCCCATAACGTTCAGCAGTTTTACCTCCTCTTTCTTTCCCAAACTCGAAGAAGAAGAAGAAGTCAACACCGCCCCAGCCGCAAACCTCCTCTGACCCCTCTGCCCCGGGACATCATCCCACCTCACCTTGACCTTCTCAACCGGCACCCCCAACTCCCTTCCGTTCGGGATCCCCCTCTCTTTCTTCTTACTCTGTCCGTCCCTAGCCACCGTCCTAGCCCTCACCACACAATAATGGCTCGCAAAAAGCGCAAACTCCTCCCACTCATCGAACGGCTCCACCTCGTCCAGCCTGCGTCTCTCCGCCGCATTGACGAAAGTATCCTCGGCATCTGCCCACGCCTCCCACAGCGTCCAGACGCGCACATCACCGCTGCCCCAGCCCCGAGAGCGGAAACGCTCCACCTGCGAGGCTACCGTAGGGTACACATCCACGCTCTTGATCGGGGTGTTGAGTTTATGAAAATGCGATAGCATTGTAGAAGCGAACGGGTGGGTCGGCCCCGAAGGTAGCAGTTGCTCGAGAAGGACAAACTCGGAGTCGCCTAGCGAGGAAGCCCATTCTATGACGGCGTCGGCTCCCGGTGTCTCCATGTAGGTGATGGAGACCTCGGCGACGAAAAGGAAGGTGCAAGAGGAGAGATCGCCGCCGACGGCTCTGGTGAGGGAGTCTTGGAGGGTGGCGAGGTCGCGCAGGTCGCAGCCTATTTGGACGTATTGGTCGCTGGTGAGGACGATACCCGTAGGGGCGGTGGTGGGGGCCGGTGCGCGGGCGACTTTGGACTTGTCCTTTGGTTTGGGGGATTTCTTGGGCTTTTGAGGGGCTTCGGTCGAGGTGCTTGAAGCGGTTGCTGCCATGGTTTTGGGTTCCGTCGTTGTGGTAGTTGTAGCCGCAGCCCTAGTAGTGGCCGCAGGAGTACTAAGCACAGGAGCAAACTCTGGTACCACCACGTTCGTCAACGGCCCCAAAAGTTCCGGCGTCTCCAAAACCGTCCGCTTCTTCCGCTCAATCAGATCCGGGAAATCGACATCCACAAACTTCACCCCGTCTTTCTCACCGGAGCGACAAGCATCTGGATACCTAGTCAAACACTGCCAAGGCAACACATCGCTTCCACAGCCCAAATTAACCACCACTTTTCTCTTTCCTTTGGCTTCTCCAGTTCTTTGCTCTTGCAAGAAATTGCGAACAAGCACATCAATGACGTGCAAACGAAAGTGATAACCGCGATTAATCAGCGGCGCGCGTCGCTGGAATTTCTTAACGAAGAAGCGGAAGAAATGAGGCTCGTTGGGGTAGTAGAGTTTTTCGACGGAGCGTTTGGAGACTATGGACGAGTTGTTTGTCTGTTTGGGGGTGTCAGTTCTGGTGGGATTGTGAGGAGGAGGAGAAGGGAGGGAATTACGTACACCCATAACCTGATCATCCTGAGCTTTTCTCGGGTCTTTGGCGTTGGCGTGTTCATTGTGAGTTGGTGTGGTCCCGTCTGTCGTCGTCGTCGTCGTCTTCTTTGGCTTTTTTTGCTTTTTGCTGTATGTTGAAGTAGGCTTGGCTGAGCCGACTTCGGTAACCGGCTGCTGAGCCGTAGCTGGAGCTACTACCTCCTCTGTGGTCTCCATCTCGTGGAGTTCTTGTGAGTTGTTGTGAGAGTAAAGAAACAAGACTCACATGAGATGAGAGATGGTGAGTGAGAATGGCAAAAGAAAATGAAAAGGTCGATGCCCAATTGGTCAATTGCCGCGCTTGATGCAACGCACGGTTCGTTGCAAGTTTCTGGACTGAGGGACAGTGTTAACGCGGTTGGGGATACACTGTGGGATCAAGTTGGCTAGCCCCTTTTTTGAGGTCCAGGTTTTGACGGGCGGTCATCAATGCAGGTACAAGTGGAGTGATAACACGTTGGGAGGTTAACGGTTGTATCAACATGAATAGTTGCATTCTGTCTATATGCACAACTTGGGCGCGGTATGTCACAGATTGAGATACACAAATTGGAAAAAAGCCAAGTAACCGCTGGACGTCACGTCCCCGTATGTAGTGAAACCCGACTACCCAAGATCCCAAATGCACCATGCCAAAACTCCAGAAAGCCCTTAATCATCAGACGATGCCCATATATGTTCCCTGATTCCCAATTTGTCAAATACCCTCAACATCCCGCCCGCTTAAACCACAATACCTCTCTGCGCCCATCCATTCTTTCCCTTCCAAGCCCACAACACTAAGCCACACGCGACCCAAACACTTGCGGCCATCGCCCAAAACGCGGACGCATAGCACTCACTCCCATAGCAAAACTGATCCTCCTCCCCGCCTTGCCCGTTAGAGGCCGCCTTCTCCACTCCCGACTGGTAAACAGCCGAGTACACCAAGCCCCAAAACGTGGCGCCAAGAGCAGGGAACATGGCCACGATGCCCCAGTTGGTCGCAAAGTTTTCGACGCCCCAGATCACGGTGATGATGATTGGCGTAAGACTGAAAACGGCGCCATAGCCGGCACCGACCAAACCCGAGGCGACCCAGAACCGCTCGCCGTGGTTTTGAATCCAGCCCGAAGCGAGGGTGGCTAAGCCGACGGAGAGTGTGACGGCGAAGAAGAGCAGGAAGGACACGCGGGAGAGGGAGAAGCGCTTGCGTTCGAGAGTTCCGGACGAGGTAATCTGGACGTGACGGGCCTGCGGGCTGGGTGCGAGAAGGTCGGTCAGAGAACCGGTGAGAAGGCGGACAAGGGTGCTGGTGATGCCGACAATAGAGACGTGGGTGGCCGCTGAGGTGGGTTCGCCGACAAATTTGAGATGGGGTGGGTAGAGCGTCTTGATGACGGTGCCGAGGTTGTTGATGAAGGCCTCACCAGGGCCGATCATGAGGAAGAAGCCGAGGGCGAAACACCACATTGTGTGGTCGTTTAGGAACCGTCGGGTCTCGGCGTTGAGGACCCATGTTTTCTTGATGCGGGCGTTGTCATCTTCTTCTTCCGAGTCGGAGTCGTTGTCGGGCTTGGAGGGGTCGAGAATGCCGGCGCTTTCCATGTCGAGGGGTGATTGCTCGATGGCGCCGTAGCCCGGTCTGTCTGCAGTCCAGCTCCCCTGGAGGAATGTGCTTCCGTCGAGGTAACCGCTGCGTTCCAATTCTTCGACAGCTTCGTCGATTAGGTCTTCTTCGTCAACGATCTTCAAGCCGAACGTGCCTAGGCAACCAACAACGAATAGCAGGACTCCCAAGAAGATGAAGAAGTGGAAGACGTCCAAGTCGCCCTTTGTCCCATCCGCAAATCTTTCATAGAACACTCGGCTTCCTAGCTGGCTCTGCCACATCCCGCTCAGCCCGAACGCGGCAATAGGCACCGCAAGTGCCAGTCCCCGATGTTTTCCCCTTCCAAAGTTCTTTGCACACGTCGCCACAGCGCTCATATACATGGAGCACGTTCCCACGCCGATGAATACAAACGCAGTAATCATGGCCGCATACGCCAATCTTCCGGTATCCTCGCCATCAGCACCGTTGCCCAAGGCCGCCCCATCCGCCTCCCGTTTATACACCCCTGCAGCCAGCCCATACCCAGCCGCAAAGAACAGCGCCGACACAAACGATAGCGGTCCCGGCCCCACGCGATCGCACATGTACCCCAGCAAAGGCACCGGCATGTATGTGGCGAACGAAGCGGCGCTCGACAACCCGTTGACCTCGAACTGGGTGTAGTGTAGACGCTCCTGGAAGATGTGGCCGTACATGCTGAAGATGGTTATGGAGCCGGCGCAGAGGGAGGAAAGCAGGGCCGAGGCGAAGGAGAGATTGCGGGCCGAGGCAGCGGCGGCTGGGGAGGTACGCCCATTGTGATGACGTCGTCGGGACGGGGAGAGGGAACGGATGGAAGAAGCGCATGAGGAAGTCGAGTCGGATTGGAGGAGGGGGGTCGAGGCAGAGATTTGGTCCGGCCGGGGGGCCGGAGTGGGTGATGCCATTTCGGCGAGCTCGATGGTGCTGGCGTTGTTTGTAAAGTCGTGAAAGAAGGGTTGAAAGGAATGTCTCAAATTCGAGCGAGGTAGAGAGAATGAAGAGGGCCTTCTTTGGAGAGGCCGCGGTTATTGGTGATTTAGCAGGAATGCTGCGGTTGCGTTGTCGCAGACTTGGACCCAAGCCTAGAGTAGAAGGTGGGAAGAAAGGGTAAGATAAAGATGTTATAGTGCAAAAGATGAGGGCCGCGACACAGACCCTGGATAGATTACCTATCTCACCGTCTCGAAAGGAAGAAAGGATGAGGCGAAGATGGGAGAGACGAGATGACACGCAAGTCAACGGTGAACCAATGCTCTCCAACCGATAACAACGACTTGCAACGATGACGGAGGCTTGACTCAATTGGTGTTCAGGTGACTGCAATCACTAATCGGTCCACCAAATCAGGGCGCGAATGCAGGGCTAAATTCCCGCTAACAGAGAGTGGGCCACGGCGTGCCTGGCGGAAAGTGGGTCTAAGCTTCAAAGTGCGGAGAGATTCACATGTCACTGGATCGGTTTGTCACCGCCTCCAACCCTTACCCTCGCCCCTCTGCTTTCGATACAGAATGGGGACTTTATTGATCACTTTTCTCACAACAGGAGAAAAGATCGAGTAGAATTCTCCATTTGGATTGGGTTCACTGTTCTTTGACCAACGGACTTGTCTCAATTCTTGACGGCGTCAACACGGCAAAAGTTTATATCCAAATCACATGACCACCAATGTGTGCTGCCTCTGGTTGTCGGCGGAAGGTTGTCAGCACTTGTACACTCTCTTCCAAATCAAATGGTCTTCAAGTGCGGCGGATTCTGTCGATTATGGAAGCTTTGTTGATCCTCAGGGTCATTCTAGATTCTCAGCATCCTGTTTAATCTTTTCTTGACCGTTTCCTCGGTATATGCCGTAGTCTCAAGCATGAAGACATTTCCACACAGATAACCACAGGATATCTCTCACTCGTTACACAGAAACCAATGCTCCTCTGCCGGTGGTGATTATTGGCAAAAGGCTTGAAACTGGAAGTGCTGTCGCTAAAATTACTGCTGCCAGATATACAAGGTACGTATCTCAACCATAACTTCCTCTCTGATCTTAACTTGCCCAATTTCTTACATGAGTAGTAATCCACTTCATCCAGTTTCTCGAAGCAGCTTGCGATAAGCTTCCCCATGTTGCGCCCCCGGAAGTCTCCCTACCCAACAATGTGGGAACACACAAGTACGAGAGACAGCCTCGGGTAGTCATGTTCTGTCGAGCCTTCCTGGTTGAAGAGGCTGCAGAGATGCGAGCAAGTCGTGCCGGGATTGCCAAAGAGCCTGTAGCTTGGCTGGTTAGCGATCCTTCGGTTGGATCGCCGCCGCTGCCGGTTGACGGAGCACTTCCTGGACCAGAGTCTTCGTTGAAGGCAATGGCGTTGGCGAGAGGCTTGCTTGCGGAATGGCTTGCTGGGGATGCGAGTGACGGTGGCAACCTAGATAGGTAAGGTTAAGGATACAGGTTCTTTCCTACTGAGCTACGTGGTAGTGGGATGGTTTAACAGACGGACATACCTCCCGTCTACCTCTAGATATGGAGTCCGTTTTGTTCCTGTTCTCTGACTTCCATCTATCACTAACCTAAGGCAAAGGGAAGGGGCAACTCGAGTCTTGACGTGGCAGTCGTCCCCCACCACTTGCACGATTGCTACCTTATATATCATTTCCTGTCCGCAGGTTTAAGATCATTTCATGGCTTCTGCTTCCTCCGAGCATTTAATCAAGACAACCTTCCAAGGCTTGTTCTCCTTCTGTTTGCCTGAGCAGACTCGGCAGGATACCGACAACACCCTCAAGTGGAATTATACCATCAGCCCTAACCCTGAGAACCGCGTCCTGCCGCATTTATACCAAACCCAACTTCTCCCCGCCAACATAACATCGACACGGCCATTCTCAATCATGAGTCATGTCAAGCGTACGCGACTCGATGCCGGCTTCCCTGATACACCCTCAGCCATACCCGAAGCCATGGAGAATGCACTCGCTCAACAGTTCGAGGCTCTTGGACCAAACGCGGGGTTGCGGCTGGCAAACCTGCGATCTCTCGTCTCGTCTCTCACACCACAGGAAACGCGCTTCATGAGACTACATCTCCAAAGTCTTCCGGCGCCAGCAGACATCATTTCTTCTTTTCCGGTCGATATTCTCATTGACATCTCCCCATACTTGTCCGCGTTGGATATAGTCAACATCCTTGCCGTATCCAAGGCGTGGAGGCAGGCGTGGTCTCAACGCCATGTCGTGGGGGCTTTAGCCAAGCACCATATGCCCAATTTCCTACAATTATACGCTCATCGAAATAGATTACCTACAGACCAAAACCTGTTCGATTCTTTCTATCAAGCCGCTCGCAAGTTCAGTATCAGACAACAGGGCCTGTTCCAGTCCATGATTTTCAACCCTGTCCCGTGGCTTCACTCTGTCACTCGCGACAGGTTCTTCAGCTTGGAATCCAGCGGTGCTATCGAAAGTTGGGACGATGTTTTTCCAGGCGGCAATTTCAACAATGATTTCCCGGATCACCTCACCGAGAAGAAAGCAGAGGGAAAGCCACCCTACTCATACATAAATTTGCTGTACCGAAATGGAAAAGTGGCATGGCAGCCTGATGATGATGATGATGACAATCTCTCGTCTCTTACCTTTGTAGACGACTTGCGTAGCCAGCAACGCAAAGTATACAAAGTCCCCATTTCTGTGGTTCTCCTCGGCTGCGTCGCCCATTTAGAGGATCTGGGCAGTGAGCTGGTCGTGGTATCAGTACGGAGGATCTGGTTTGTCCCCGCGTTCCAATATTACTCCCCATTTCTTGCATACTAAAATCTTTCTATTAGCTACGCGTGGAACCTCGAGACAGGTGAACGTGATTCTGTGACGCTTCCATCAGCCAACATCTATAAAGTTAGCATCGAGGGCAAGCGTGCATATATCTTGACCGACAACTCCGAGGTGTATGTTTGGACATTTAGAGGTGGTATTCGGAAAGTTGACACAAGTGCGGCCGGTGAAGACGGCATCAACCGCATCGTCAACGTTGTACATGACATGGAAATGGAAGGCATGTTTGATATCCTTCCCCACCCCTTTCTCGATGATAAGTTCTATCTTTTTTCGTTCAGAGAGTCCGAGAGAATGCTGGTCGTCCATGAATTTAACCACAACGGAACCTTACGGATACATACCACAACTCTTCCCAAGGTCTACTCTCTTACTCGGAAGTGGGGTACAGGTGATTTCGACTTCGAAATCAGTTGCGAGGGTACAGAACCCAACGGTGACGAAGACTTCTTCCGTGATGAGAGGCACAAGGTCGATGCGTATGGCAATTACACCATTTGCCAGTTTTTCGCCAAGGGGCGGCCTGTCAAGCCAAAGGAATTTCGAGGGCTCTACGATGATAAGTGGAAGGACTGGAACTGTGAGGCATACCACGATGAAGATGATGACTATTGCCTTGGGTATACGGTCCTATTTAACGCTTTGACGGCCTCGGTGTCGATCTCCCCATTCATATCTAACATACGTCGCCCCGATCAGTTCCCACCTTCATTGACATTTTGGGGCGGTCAGCAAATCGAGCTCATCCGCGCGCCCACTACGGGAAATAATCTGGATTTCTGCATGCTGTTGGTATCGGAGCTAAACGGCCAAAAGCGTGTTCAATCGATGGATGATCTTCCTATCTATTGCCCGTCGACGATCAACGCGGCCAAACCTATTTCCGTCACTCGCCGTGTGACAACTCGCCTCGACAATTCACCTGCCAAAAAGATGATGCAGGGTCACAAATGCTCCAACATTGTCTCGCGATATCTGACCGAAAGATTGGAACTCATTTCCAGTATTCAACCACAATACGGCCTTGAAATCACTTTCGAATACGATCAATTGAGGTGTTGTATCAATGCTGAACTTACTGAAGGCGACGGCACTTTTGAGCTGAAGGCCGACGAAGACTTCCTTGTATGTGTCAGTCCAGAAGGTTACGTCGCATGGAGCTTTTATCACGATATGAAAGACTTACAGGTGAAGGCTTGAATGACCACCAGCCCGCAGTGTACACGCGCTTGAGCCGCTTGTCAGTCCAGCTTTTGTGGTACACTGTCCTGGCAATATTTTTAGACCAACTCTTAGGGCCTACTGTGGATGGGACAGATCAATTGGCACCCAGAATAGCAAAATCGCGAGAACTGAAACAATAATAATAGAATTAGCTGGCCGTTTCCATGCCCCTGTTCGGATACAAACATGCCCTTTCAATCAATACACTTTTTCGACGATGCAATTGTGCAGTCTGAGCGTTCAAACCCGATTCACCCCAGCTGCACTCTTGGTATGAACAAACGACGAACAACTATTGGGACTTCCAGCTTTCCCTTTCAACCATCTGAAACCCTTCCGCACCTCATCCCCCACCTTCTCTCTGTTTTCCCTCGCCCGTTCCAGGCCTCCGGGCTTCAGACCACCAGGAAGTAACCACCACATCAGCAAGATGAACACCAAAATGGCCAACACAATAGGCTGCAAGACCGTCACGCCCTTCTTCTGGGCAATAGCGCCCACCGCAAACGGGAAGATTGCCGCACCACCGCCGCCAAAGGCCGCGGCAAACCCAATTGCCGACACATGATACCCAGGCGGCAGCAGCTTCGTAGCCGCCACGATAGCCGCGGGGAACAGCGGACCGAGGAAGAAACCCAGAAACGACACAAAGATGGCCGAGGCAACAAAGCTCGGCACTAACCAGTACAGCAGTTGTAGCGCAATACACAGCAGGAGATACACCGAGATGGCGACCTTCTCCCCGATGCGGCCCGTGATGAAACCCAACACTACTCGTCCCACCGTCAACCCCAGCCAAAAGAAAGTGACGGTCAACCCAGCATCGAAGGGCTCCGCTTGCCGCACCTTGAGCATAAAAGTCACGATCCACCCGCCAAGGGAAACCTCAGCGCCGACGTAACCTAGCAAAAACATGGCGACAATCCAAGGGATAGGATCACGCATGACGGTGCGAGTCGTCGTCCGTTTATCAGTGCCTCTTTCGTTTTCACCACCAGCACCAGCAACACCCTCCGACTCTGACTCCGACTCGGCGATCCCTGCCCGATACACTTCCTTGGTTGCCGTCCAGAACGCGGCCGTCATCGCCACCAGCTCCGAACCATTTAACCCCACAATCACATAATAAAACGTGTACCACTCCAACCCGCCCTTGGTCACCATGCTCGTGGCAATCAACGGTCCGATGGTCGCTCCCAGCCCATAACACCCGTGAATAATCCCCAACAACTCATTGGCGTTTCTCATATTTCCCACCCAAGCATTCCACGCCGAGTCCTCAATACCGTTGCCGAATCCGGTAAATAACATGACCACCGGCAACGCAGGATAAGGGAGGTGACATGCCATGGGTATGAATCCGATCAGCCTGCAAACGGGGCCCAAGATGGCGACGCCGCGTTGACCAAAGTGGTGGTGGATGAGGTTGTTGAATAAGGCCGCCAACAGGTAGCCGATAAAGGGAGATAAAAAGACCAGGGATACGATGGTGTAGGAGATGGAGTAGTAAGTTTCCAGGTAGGGGATCAGAGCACCGATGGCGCCGTCGGACATGCCCATGAGGACAAAGGAGTAGCAGATGAGGAGGAAGCGGAAGATGGAGGCGCGGGAGGCGTTCCAGGTCGATTTCTTTTGGTCGTGGTCGGGTTGTTGGGGGCTGTTGGGGTTGGGCTGCTCGAGCTCGGGTTCCGATTCTTGCTCTGAAAATTGATGGGCTGTGGTGGTCTTGGATTTGGGTTCTCCGTCGATGGGAATGGCGAGGGACTTTTCGGGGTCGTGGTCGTGGTTGGTGTTGTTTGATATTGTTGGGGCTGGTTGGACGTTGTGGGTTTGGTGATGGCCTATCTTCTCCGGGTCGGAGGGTGGAGGAGAGGTTGATGAGGCCATTGTGGCCTTGGGGTGGATTGACGTGGTAGTCCAACTGATTCTTCTGGGGTCGAAGGGCAGATGATGATATAGACCAGTGATGAATTCAAACGGAGAATGATGATGAGTCCTTGTGGTGATATACCCGTCCAGGTCTGTTGATCCTTTCAACAGCTGCGAGCGTAACACACCAGGCAGAGAGAGGGCTTCTGAATTGAAAACTGTCCTTGATCGAGCAGCTCCAAGGCCACGGCGAGTCGAAGCTTTTATATTCCAATCTTTTCAAGAGATACCATGCCTCATGATGTTGCCAGTCATGACCAGAAGTCAACCCTACCACAAGCGTCCTTTCTTGCCTCCTCCTCCCCCTTTTCTTATTCCTCCTTCCGCGGAACCAGATTGATCACGGCCCGGAATCACTACCGCGGGACCGGGCGGTATGTATGTATGTCAGACGGGGCGGTCGGGGTGACGCTTGTCTGTGATGCGGATGCGGGGGGTTACTCTGGCGCGGAGCCACGATGATGAACGAACTTGGAGCAAGCTATATCACATTGCATGAAGCCGTGAAAAACACATTGCCAGGGAAAGAAAATGTGGGTAGTTGTCGTCAAGTTGGGAAGGAGAATCCTAGCAACGGTCAACAATCAACCGAAGATCAAGCGGCCAAAAGGGGCGCCGTCGATAGCGGCGACGTTGGAGCGGTTGGGATAGATTAACCAACCAACCAAAAGGGAATCTCAAGTCTAAACTCAAAGAAGGGGAAAATGCTACGTAATGAGATGGCTTTTTTTGACGTTCCAGGCCGCCGGCAGATATGTAGTGCAGTTTGTCACTTCTCACCTGGTCTTGACTATCTCGTCCTACTTCAGACCTTCGGGTGCATCGCATTGTCCAATCTATCGAATTTCGATGTGATGGAATGGAAGGGTCGAGGACGGGAACACACACTGAACTTAAGCGTCAACTGTCCGCTTGCCACAGTCTGCAAGAACCCCAAATCTCCAGTATTCCTGCCCAAAAGAGTAGGTAGCTTCCTGGACCCCTAAACGGCAAAACAAATTCAAGCTTTTCAGGATCCAAGCAAAATCGGCAACGTTTTCTGCAGCAGCAAGTGTGAAAAAAAAGAAAAAGCCGAAGTTGAGGAGGAAGGGATATACCCCACACACCACCCCGCGGTCCAGGTCTTGGCGACACACGGGGGAGTGCATCGTTCCCCTCCCGGACCCGAAGTTGAGCCGTTACGGCCCGTGTAGCCCGTTGGAATGCCGCTGTGTAGGTAAGTATCGTCCGCCGCTTTTTGTTTGACACCCACTCTCGCCTTTTCTTTGCTCGAGACTGGGTGGGACCTTTCATCCTCGTCAGCGTCACAAAGAAGAAGGTCTTTCACACCTTTGTAGCAAGCTTCTCCATATTCCATTCCGCACATCTCCGCCCGCGCAGGCGGAGTTCGTACGGATGACGACGTATGCCGCCGGATGGGGAATTGTTCATTCGTCGAAGGACTCCATGGGGAGTGTGGTTTTGCCGAACTTTTAGCGAAGGCGAGCTGGCGAGAAAGTTCGGTCGGTTGGTGACGCCTCTCTTGGTTGTCGTCAATTCGGGGCGAATGGTTAGGTTCATTCCATGATCGTTGAGACTTGCGAACTTGCTGGCACATGCGCTTTGTGAGAACTTCTTCGGTCAGTTTCCAGTCCTTCGTTGCGAAGGAGGGGACACCTTCCCAAGTTGCACGCTGAGAACTGCGACAAAAGGAACTCGTGCCCAATCGACGTCTTCGATTTTATTGAATCCCTAGAGGTAGTGAGTGTTTTCTTTCTTCGTTCAAACTTCAACCATCCAATCCTACAATCCAAGCAATCATTATCGCTACTCGTTGAACCGAGGTGTTGTTGAGATAGTTAGGTCATGCCTGCCAACCGTCCTCAGATCCACGGGGTACTTGAACAGAGCACACAAACTCCAGTTCGGGGGGTCAATGTTCCCTTCCATTCCACCGTCATACGCAATCGCATTCCATACCCAACCCGGCTCCAAAAATATGTCGCTCGTATCAAGGAATATCCTTCTCGAATTTCTATTTCCATTGCACACGGTTCATGTAGTGTACATCATCGGATCTTTCTCTGTCAGACTCGTCACTGATTAACGGTCGTGCGACCCAGCGGTCAAAAAGCGACGGACATATCGATCGTATCGCGATCCCTTCCTCCAGAGGATAGAAGAATCAGGGTGGATGTACCTCTAGCCACACTCCCTCAGCTCAGCCCAGCGATCCTGTCACTGCCCCTTGCAAGTGACTCAGGTGGCCTCGGTGGCGTGGATGGCTGACTATCGCAATCTTCTATTTTCTTTTCCCTCACAACAGTAGCATTCAATGACAAAGTACGCGTGTTGCTTCTGCTCGTATTGCTGCTGCAGCTTCAATGTGGTGATCATCCACGATCCGGATAACATCATCCCGTCGAACCACTGACAGGCCAGTTGCCATCTAATCCAAACCCTCCACGCCCATACAACGTTGACGGGACCGGATCACCATCATGGCACTGCAGATCCAATTTGGCTGCTGACCTGCAGCTAGAATACTATAATGTTTTCTGCCGCCATTCAGACAGACACCTTCGAAGGAGTGTCGTTGTGAGCAAAACTTGGTGATATGGTGGATCAAAGACAACTACAGGTACACCTAGCTGTGCCTCGATTATACAGTACATGGCAAAAAAGGGTCCACCAAGATGCACAAGATGTCTTGACAGCCTCAAGATCCGTCCCAAGTCTCAAGCTGTGTCTTGCAAAGGCATTTCTTCCCAAGCCGCGCAATGTTGCAACCTCGGTTCTGGAACTATCCCTCGAGTCTCCTATTTTCTTGCGTCAAATCTCAGAGCAAAGACGTCAAAAAATGCAATGGCAACAAACCGTTTCAAAACTCGAAACAGTCCGTCGAATCAAGCCACGCAAGGCCAGGCGGACAGGGGGTCACTAGGGTTCTTAACGTTGCCTTTGTGAGAGCAGTTAGCCGAGGGCATCGTCGCATCTCCCTTAGTATCCTCCTTGTCCAATCATCTTTCATGGCTGTGGTTGCTTGCAATCGGAGGAGGGCCACTGGGGATCGCCTGCGCATCCTTGTTGAAGCATCCCACACCCCCCAGTTAACCTAGAATCTTCCCCAATCGAACGACTGGACACACGCGGCCTGCATTGAGCTGGCTGAAATGCAACCACTTGAGACCATTGAAGTGAAGGGGCTTCGCATTGTCCGCTGCCCTCACTCCCCCCTGTCCTCTCTTATGCGGCTGGCTGCATTACGCCGGTTCCCTTCCACACACACCACTCCCACCACGGGGTTCCCTTCCGCTCCAGCCCACCCATCCAGCATCCAGTCGAAGTTTCTTTTTTTGTCAATCTGGACGCCGGAGAAACATTGGACGCCATGGCGTTTGGATTCCCGAGATTAGACTGTATGCGGCCTCCTTGATACGGGGATCGATCCTTGTAATCATCTGAGTGAGCATGTGCGGTCCAGACAGAGTCCAGAACGGTTACAGATGACTGGGCAAACCTTTTTGGCGTTGCTTCCTTCGTTCGTATTAAAAGACGGGCTGCGTGCCGCTTGAAGGTGAAGTTCTGTTTTTCTCTCCTTCTTGGATATCTCGCTTCTTCTTTTTTTGGTCTTACCAACACACACTCGTTCAAACCACACGATTTCGATTCGGTAATCACATAACGTTTCCACACGTCTCGTTCAACCACCAGACAAACATATAATCACAATATCAATATATAAAGCCGAAACAACAGTCAGCCAAGCTACTCAACATAAAACAAAACAACACACAAACAACCCAAACAAACAGCAAAAATGCAGTTCAAGACCCTCATCGTCTCCACCCTCGCCGGCCTCGCCGCTGCCCAAAACACCGTCCCTCTCTCTACCGCCCCCGTCGGTCTCTCCACCGGTGTCGTTCCTCTGCCCACCGGCACTGGAGGCGTGATCTCCACCAAGCCCGGCGGTATCTACTCCAACAGCACCTTTATCAGCAAGCCCGCGGCGAGCACTGAGGAGACCACTGCTACCGTCACCTCCAAGGTTGGTGCTGGTGCTTCGTCCACCAGCGCTGCTGCTTCGGCTAGCACATCTGGGAACACCAATGGGGCCAACCTGGATCGCAAGAGCGAGTTTGGCATGGTGGTCATCGGGTTGGTTGTTGCTGCTGGGTTTGCCATTTAAACAAACCTCTTGCATGCATGATCATAATGGGATGAAGAGAGATGATGGGTGATAATAATGGTTCTTTGGGCTGTGTATACCCAGGACGGGGACTGCCTGTCTTTTGGCTGGCAGCGATGACACACTCGAGTTGGGATCTATACCCCCCGCTGCATGACGACCAACTCGAATGACCAGATGGATGGATGATATGAGACGGACGGACGGACAAATGGATACCTACACCGGGAACCAAAAGGCGTTAATTACTTCACTTCTTGGGCATTCATGGGATGAATGGATGGATGGATGGATGGATGGACGAGGCCATTGGGCTTTTGATGGTCTCGTCTTGTTTTGCGTCTTTTTCTTCTTCACCTTTTGCATGAGCCTTAACTTATGTGGGCTCGGTTTACAAACAGTATTTAACTTCTTCATCATCTTCTGCATATACAGCTAGACACATTACAATTTGAATTATACTGGGGCCTGCCATTGGCAGCCCGGTTTTTTGGACATCTTTTACAACCTCACTACGGTATTTTCGCTTGGTGTCTTTTTGATTCGCATGGTCTCCCCTTCCTTTGAATTTCCAGTACCTGACGTGTGTTTTTATGGTTCATTTTTCCTGGTCTCGATAGTCGGTCACGATGGGTGTCACAAAGCTGGCGCAAAACCCGAGCCCGTTCACAAATCTGGTTAGTCCGTCTACACTACATACGCGTATCTTGACGCTACGCGCCCGTGCAAGCGGGCTGTGATGTGATGGGGCGTTTCATTCTCAGCCTCAAACAGTCCCGAAAATGCGCAGAATATTGGACATGGTGATTATCATGATTATCAGCGTTTCCAACCTCTGTTTTCCGAGAAAAGTATGCATGGCGAGAATGGCCAGTCCACGGGTTAGTAGCGTGTCAGCCTCAGACTCACTTGTTCGGCTTTTTTTTTTCTTGGATTACAACAGGGGGTATCATATGATTTGCTCCCACGTACTGGTGTGGTGCAGAGGTATTTTGGCGCTATGATAAGTGGACACGCGTACAGTCTGGTAGAGGTCACGTTAAGAGAGCAACGCAACGGCGTTTGTTTCCATGAGACATAATGGGAAGAAATATGGCCAACATACACCATCATTCTGTAAGGATTTTGTGAACATAGTTATTCCAAGTTAAAGGCGTCCAATTGCTGAAAAGAAATGAGTACTACACGTCTAGAGTGTCCTCGTCGTGTTGCATGTCCCTCAATCGCTTGTTGTTATGTGGGGGGGTGTCTGTTAAAGTATGGATTATAGGTACTGGAGCTGAGGCTTTGAGATATCAACTGGAAACGGTTGTATAGTGTAGCGGTTATCACTCCGGATTCTGAATTTCATCAGGACATTCCGGCAACCCCGGTTCGATTCCGGGTACGACCTCATCTTTTGCTTTTTCTTGCTCTGTACTCTTTCTCTTGAAGATCCTTTCTTTTTTTTCTTCGTGCCCTTTGAGTTTTTCTGTTCGTGTCTTTTTACTTCGAGGTCCTCTAAAACCAAATTGTTATTGTGTGCTTGGTTTCCTCCCTTGTTCCCTCTCTTACTTCCATGTTGGTTGGCAAAATCAATTCATCGGTCAACATGAAGTTCGTGTCAAAGCCAATTCATTTTTTGCAACAAGCCGATACGTACCGCGTGCAAAAAACGTTCATACCCAAATGAAATCTCCGACACCTTGTCGGTTGATCACACCCCAAATTGGAGGAGAGAGGCGATATGTGAAGATGCGCAGGATCCGATCAAGCGTACCTGCATGAACATGATCACTTGAACGGGTTCACAGAAGCCAAACGGTCGGGTTCCGTGCCTGGTGGTCGATCTCCCGCTTAAAGCCTCCGAGTCCCCCACCAGCGAGACCACTGGGGAATGTTCCACTTCAGACAACCGATATGTACAACATTTGTTCATTTGAATATATGTATAGCAGTGCGAGAATCGATCCTTCGCATGACTGCCATGCTGGTACCTAACCTCTGCACCGAACAACACTGTTAGGCTCAAGACTAAGTAAGGTAAGTAGAGGAGAATGATAGAAGCGCGTAATGACATCACCACGCCCACTGACGATGTTGTGAGCCCGTGGTCGATTTTGGGGATGCGTTCATTCTTCTGTTTGAGGAGTCTCTCTTCCCCGACATGTTTCCAACCGTGAATTTGCGCAAGGCGGCGACCGACGCGCGCGTGAGCGGTTACTATGCGGGGAGATTCAGATAAGCGACCATGTCATGGCATGGCATCGCTTGCATCCCGCCAGTTCGCCTCCAACAAGGATTGACCAAGAGCGCCCACGAGGAGGCGGACAGTAGGACGTTCAGCTAGCGCGCACTGGTTTGTCGCGAAGCGCAAGTTGAGGACTTGCTATTGTGAAAATGATAGAGCGTCCATAATAAGCGCGTAGACCGGCATGTATGTTGTCTTGTAGTTACTGTGTCGGCGATATATTCTTCACAAGGAAGAGTCGAACATACAATCGCCCAGATTGTGTCGCATAGAACGCTTGCTCTATCTAATCTCGACCCTTTGCCAAAATAACAACGGTGCATAGAAGAGACAGAAAACGAAACAGAAAACGAAACAGAACACGAGTGACAGCGCGTTCGAATCGCGGTTATTGGCATGGAAGAGATCTCGAACTTTTCCCCAAGTGACATGGTCTCACCGTCTTGCCCGTGGGTAACAACTCAAACTGTCTCGGGGGTTTCGTTCCGGAAGATTACAGGGTCAGTGACTGACAGGATCTCGGCTTCATCAACCGTAGCACCCCGGATTTATCGGTATCGCCGTCAGAGATCTGCCACAAAGAATCAAATTTCATCCAGCTATGCACTATAAACAAAGGGTATTACGTGTACGCGGTTGGCAGAAAAATCGCCCGTTGGCCGTGGAGAAACGGGAGACATCAAGAAGGACCTGGATCACGTGTATGATCATTGGTGCCAAGGCCAACAGCGCATGCTGGTGTTAGTGGTCTGTTAGTGCTAAGCAGCTAGGTCCCCTAAAAGGGCAGAGCTGCACGCTACTGCGCTGGGATTCTGGGGAGGTCAATTGAACTGAGGCTGTCTTTTAGCGGCTATGCTAAGGATACAGCGTAGGTCAGCGAAGGGTCCGCAGGCCTCAGGTAGGTAGAGTTTTACCACCATGTCGGGCATGCCTGGCCCGTGCTTCAGGTCCCCTTGATTCTTCCAGACCGTCTCACAACTTTACCTACCAAGGAGCCAGGCAGACGACAAGACCCAAAACCAGGCCAGATGTCTGAAGTTACTGCAATTTGGCCCAGGTTCGGCTTCGGCATGAGCGAAAGCTTAGCTCAGCGGTGTTATTGATATTCAGGGCAGTCAGTTGGCGATTCTGAGGATTTCTTTCCTCTGGTCGTTTTGCCTGCGACAACCTGAAATGTAAAAGGCGGAACCTGGGTCTGGCCATCTTTGCACTTGAGGTGGACATTCCAATGTCGCCTTGTATTGAATTGCATGTGTCTGGATTTATTTGTTCGTTCTTTTATGCTGGCGAATGCTTCATTCCAAATCTCTTCTTTTTGCTTAAATAGACAAGGCAGCTTCTTTCTGTTGGTGCGGTGGTTTCATCAGTCGTGGTCGTGCAACACCGCCCAGCAAGAGGGACATTCACTTGCTGTCACGAAATCACCTCAGACCGAACCGGAAGCAAGCCACCTCTCAACTTCAGAGCTCTTGACCTTCCCCGCCAATCCACGTCGCTTTCCACCCAAAACTCGCCCAGGATCTTGGGTCCCGCCAAAATTCCCGTTGACAAGCTTCTTTCTTTCTTCCTTCGGCCCTGCTCCCCCACCGCCGCCGTTGATCGCTTTTCATACCGATCGCAGTCCTCCTTCCCCTGCTTTTCCTAATACAGCCAGGACCTAGCCTTGATCCCTTCCTTGTCTTCTGGTTTAGAGCCGCATGGTCGTGCCTCATCACCCCGCCATCGACGAGATACGGTCGAAGCTTTCTTACCACCAATACAAGCAGTACATGCCTACCTCTGCATTTTAGCGACGCCCCATTTAGCCCCCCTAATCCAACCAGACGACCTTTTAAGCCCGACCAAGCACGGCTTCGAAAATCCAATCGGGATTCGTACAGGACGTTAGTAGAGACTGAGGACGGACTTGGATGCACTCGTTGCGCGGCGTTGTTCAATTCTATAACTTGACGAGACTCGCCCTTGCACCCTGGGCCGGGCGTTTACCTACAGTACCTACCTACACCTAGCCTTCACCTTGCATTAATTACAGACCGGATACACGGTATTACGGTCTGCCGGTCTAGCCCACTCAGCTACCCCAGACGGACCTCCACGCGAAAGACGGGCACTCGGGCCTGTCCTGTCGATGCAGACTCACTAGTGTACTGGCGGCATTGCTGTGCTGTGCTAGTGCATCCAACTCAAGACTGATCCAGTCGGACGAGCACTCGTCATTCTGATTCGCCCAATTGGTGCAAACACCGACCGACCACAGAGCGTCCCCCTAGTAGCCTCCTGCCGCTCCCGCTGGCCGCACCCGCACCCGCGCACCGTACCATCTCCCGCCGCCCGCCGCACCCTCCTCTCACCACCGCCAAAAAGTTGTTTCCCCATCCCAACACCTCTCCGACCCAAGAAGGTGCAACAACACTGCGAGACCAGTGACCCTCACTGGGACCCCGACCGCAGGCAGCATGGAGAACCGACCGGCTTCCGCGAAGCCCGCGACCACAGCCTCGACCCCCTCGCAGTCGTCGACGCCCGACGTCAAGTCCCCCGCGACCCGTCCCCTCTACAGCAGCAAGCTCGGCGACCAGCGAGCAAGGACATCAGACGCGGTGCCGGCCACTTTGGCCAGCCAGCAGAACAGGTGAGACGCCATCTACCGCACCCTTCCTGCCCCTTCAAACACCGTCTTTGCCCTTCTTCCGCCTTGCCCGTTCTCTTTACTGCGGCAGCCGCACACCGATCCAGCAACAAAGCCACACCTTAAACCCGACCCCCCGTCATCACGCCTGCCCATCCTCCCATCCTGTCAGACCCCTTAGACCTTGGGTCCACCTCCAGGTCGACTTCCATTGTAGTCGCGGAATCATCGTCTTCACTCCCTCAATTCCCACCCCTTCCTCCCATTGCCATGCTCTTGCCCGCTTGACGGACATCCAATCCTTCGGCGCCGTAACTCCAGACTGACATCCGCACAGACAGTCTGCCCCTCCTGTCCAGCAAAAGGCCTGGACTTCGGCCAAGAACCCCATCACCGGCCAGTCCGCCAGACCGCAGAACAACTTCAGCTCACAGGACAAGAAATCCGTGACCAGCTCCCTTCGCGAGGTTCGTTGATGCGCCTTGTTTGCTCGTTGTTTTTGTTCCCCTTTTTCGAGACCCATGTTATCCATGACATAGCTCCATTGGCGGACCTTACTACTACTTACTCCCTTAGCTGCTCCACTATTGGCCGCCGTCCACCACGGCAATGCTACATGGACTGTCCGCCTGTCTTATACTGGTCGCCTTTGTACACCGTCTGACGCTTACTTCAATCATCTCCAGGGCCAACGAGTACGCATTACCCTCGCTAACGGCTCCGAGTTCGAGGGTACTTATGCCAACACCCAAGACCCCAACACCTGCCGCCTGACTACGGTAACGCAGAAGAAGCTGCCCAACTCGGCCGAAATGAACGGAGCTTCTAGAAAGGAGCAAGGAACCATGACGTTTCAGAAGAAGGAGATCGTTGACGCGCGTCCTCTCCTGGTCAACAACCTTGGCAAATCAGACGGCAAGCCTACCAACGGTATGGACAAACCGGCTGCGTTATTCCGCTTGCTTGTTCGTTCTAACATGGCTATTCCATAGGCAACCGCGCGTCCTTCCGTACTGACGCTGCCATCTCCAACTCTCGCTTCGGAAATGAGCGGACTCTGCACCGCTGGGTGCCCGATTCTACCGACGGGCTTGATGATAGCTTGGAGAAGACCAACACTTCTGGTACCTGGGATCAGTTTGCTGCGAATGAGCGCCTCTTCGGTCTCAAGACCGATTATGATGAGAACATCTATACCACGACGATCGACAAGAGTCACCCTCAGTACAAGGAGCGGATGGCCGCTGCGGAACGTAAGGCACGCGAGATTGAGCGAAGCGCCCCGGTTACCGCACATGTTGCCGAGGAGCGTGTCATGGACTTCCAGGGCGGAGACGATCGTGATGAGGAAGACAAGTAAGTCACAGGTCAAGAGAATCAGGCATTGGGGCCGGCTAACAAAGGAAATAGGTACAGCGGTGTTCGAAGACAAGACTTCCCTCCCCTGTCTGGTGGCCGAGAGAACAAGTACACGCCTCCTGCTCGGCGTGCTCCGGCTGCGCACTCTACCGTCAAGGGTGCTCCTGTAGACCCGGCTATCATCTCGTCTCAGCTGAAGGCACCCCCGCAGAAGCAAGCTGCGCAGACTGTGGCTGATGTCAAGAGCCCCATCCAGCAGACGAAGCCATCGCCCGCACCTACCAGCACCACCGCGGACTCAAAGGTCGAGTCTAAGCCGGATGTGAAGGTAGCGGAAGTCAAGGCTGTTAACGCAAAGGCTACCGATAAGAGCGCGGCTCCGGCTCAGGCCGCGGTTAGTACTACAGCGACTGCACAGACCCTTAGCAGCAAGCAGCAGGGAATTGAGCAAAGACTTCTAACTTCGTTCAAGGAATTCGCGAACATTCAACGCGGCAGTGCCTTGTCTGCCCAGAGGGCCAAGAACAAGGCAGACAAGGAGGTCAGATTGAATGACCTCAGAAAGTTCTATCACGAATTCAAGCTCTCAACCCCGGTGCCATCTGACCTTATTTCTATCATTGCCAAGGACCCAGCAAAGCAGAAGGAGATCCAGGAGAAGGCGCTGAAGAACGCACAGGAAATGGCCAGGATCAAGGCTGAGCAGGCTGCTCTCAAGGCGAAGGAGGTCAATGTCGCCAAGGAGGGTGCGAGCAAGACCACTACCGAGCAGACCAGCTCGGCAACTACTACCACGGCCGATACCCGTACCGCGTCGCGGCCGACTGCCCCTCAGCACTCTAGTTCAGCTGGTGGTGTTCCGAGCCGCCACCAGGGTCAGCGCAACTCTTACCAGCATCCTCAGGCGGCTTATCACCAGCCTTACACCCGCGGGAACCGCCCGCCTCCCCATATGTCCCAAAGCCAGCAGACGGGCAACCTATCTCAGCGCCTACGGAACGTGGAGCAGCACAAGATGCAGCATCCCCATATGGGACAGCATCCTCAGGGTCCTGACATGCGTCTCGCCCCCACTGGCCCTGCCAACAACGGAGACCCTTCCTTTGCTCGTCGCACCAGTGGTGTTCCACCGCCCACTAAGCAGTTCAACCCTCTGATCCACGAGTTCAGACCTGGTGCCACCCCTTTCGCCCCTGCCTTTAGCCCCGCTGGACCGAGCCAAGCGTCAAGCCCCCGCGTGTCGGTTAACAACGTTGTCGAGCCTGCGGGCGCTTCGGCTCTGCCTCCTGGAAAGCTGATCAGGCGTAAGACCAAGGATGTAGACCCCAAGAAGTGCAATATCTTGGCCTTCTTGGAGAAGGAAGAGAAACCTTCCATGCAATCTCATGCCGTGAGATGGGAGGAGAACGGTGCCCTCCGTCCGGCCTACGAGACCCCCCCGACGTGGCGCCAGGCGGATCCTCAGAACGAAAAGGCTGATTCTACCATGAACATGACCTACACGGAATACATGGAGAGGTACCCGGTTCCGAGCACCGTCAACGCCACGCCCAACCCGTCTCATGCACTTCCCCAGTTTCACCATCAGCACCAGTTGCCTATCCACATGCAGCACGGCGCGCAGAATCTTGCCCCGAGGCAGTCGCCTCACATGCCTCCTATGCCCATGCAGCCTGGCCAGCATGGACATGCCCCTCATGTCCCTTTTACAGCTCCTGACGACCACAGGATGATGCATTCAAACTCCCAACAGTCGTTTGCATCCCCTAGAATGGGTCATGCGGCCATGGTCTATCCCCAGGGAACTCCTGGTCAGTTCCAGTACAGCCAGCCGATGATGCAGCCCTACATGCCTGGCGGTGCGCCCCAGATGGGACCATTCCGCAGCTTCTCGAACAACCCCCAGTTCATGCCCCAGCAGCAACATCACATGGGCGGTCCCGTTATGATGCAACCGCAGTTCATCCCGGGGCCAAATGGCGCCTTGATGGCGGCTGGTCCTCAGGTCCAGATGTATCCTGGACATCCACAGTTTATCCCCGCGGGTGGTGTACCCCCTCAGCCCATGAACGGGACGAACGGTTATCCTAGCCCCGGACGCCCAACGGCACCCATGATGGTGCACCAGGGCTCGCAGCAAGGACAGCCGGGTGTTTATGGAATGAGCCCTGCTGTTCAATACCAGCAGCCTGCTTTTGTGGCTCAGCAACAGCCTCAGGGCAAGTTCCCTAACCAGCGGGCTCAATGAGGGCGCGCTGGCCGCCAGCATGTCACGTCAACTGGGTGACTGCAGTGGGATCGCTGATGGCCACTGCCTTGTTGAATTATGAACTGCTCCTGCGGGCTTGGCAGGAATGGGGGTGTTATGTCGGGCTTGATAAGAGGATAAAGTCACCAAGCCAGCCATTCAAGTCGAGCCAGGTTGGTTGGTCAACCTTCTGTGAGCAAGCAGAACGATGCAAGGTGATGTATAGCGTCGCCTTGTTGAACAGTGGCTCGAGAGATGCAACTCCGCCGGGTGAGTGGCAGGCATGAGAAGAGATTAACAACCCAACAACCAGAAAGGCAGTATACGACAACTACCATCACGATTACAATGCCTTTGCTTGCCTTTCATTAAGCTACTGGAAGAAGCTAACCAGAGAGCGAACCATCAATAATCTCTTCTAAAGCCATTTGCATAGTCCTTCCTTCACTTGAAAGTGTGCTTTACACATCGACCTTCGGCGACGCCATTTTACCATGCCACATACACTTCTATGAATTACTGTTGGACTTGGTCCTCTTACTCCTTGCCAAGCTATATGTTCTTGCTCGAGAGTGTAGCGGAGTCAAGTTCACACCACAATTGGCTACCCATATCTATTCAATAAAGCAGCTTTCAGGGGACGGATGGAGTACCAGGGGAGGTGATGGATGGGTGGCCACGAGAGACGAAGAATAACGAGACCCAAAACGTCAGCAAACGGCTGGCTCTGACCCTCGCTGCTGATGAAACCCATCAATACCGGGGTAATACGTTCATGAGTAAGGAAGGATACGAGTACAATTTGTGTGCTGCTTTGGGGGCAAGTGGACAGATAGGCCGACATCGATGAAGTGTTGTAGGGGAATTGCAGAGCAGGATATTCTATGTTATTGGAGATGCGAGAGTGATGACTCGCAGAGGATGAAGGAGATACGTCTGGTATCAAAGTACTGCCAGGCATACAGCACACTATGGCGTAGCATATAGCAAGCAAGCGAATAAGCACGCTTTGGGGGGTGGAAGGAAGCGGGGTGGTAAAGAGAGAACGGGAAGAGGGGGAGGGGGGTTAGTGCTACATAGCTAGCATAGCAACAATGAAGCGAGTAAGGTTATCTTGATGGGAATTCATGTGAAGTGAGGCCATGACATGATGAAAGCGACACGGTCAAGATTCGAGCGAAGAAGCAGTGGTGCTGAGCTTGGCTGATTCTCTTTATAGCAGGAAGAGCGTCACGAGACATTGTGTCAAGATATGTAATGTAAGACGAGGACGGACAACGCAAGACAGCACATACAACAACTTGGATTTACTGCCGAACCTCATTTCATTATATGCTCTTTGCGAGCCTGAACGTACGCACTCAAGCGGGCAACCTATGCTGACGTTGACAGCTAGCTGCTAGTTTCCGTCCGCCTAGGACAAATATGGGGAGGGGAGAGATGATGTGTGCTACCAGGACATTGTAACTTCCGAAGATGAAAACTACTCGGTAAACCGTAGATCATGGATTTAAGTTGGAATGTTTTTCTTTTCTTTTCTTTTATCTCTTTTCTTTTTCTTTGATCGTGGTATCCATGGTGGTGATGATGGTGACAAGTTAGGTACATGCTGCTTGCTATCGTTTGCATAAGTTGCATGATTGCTTTTAGGTAGGTATATAGCCTTGGGGAAAAAAAAACCAGTACCCCGTTTCTGCTACTGCTACTGGCTAGGTAGGTAGGTACCTAGGTACTCACATATACCAGACCCCTTTTGTTAGTGTAGATAGTTGTGCTTGCTTTGTTTTAGGGTAGGGGGGGGAAAAATGCAAGGAACCGAGCGAGGTCTACACTACAAAGAAGCAATCACATCACCAAACAAAGACCGGCCATACATATGGAGTCGCTTGTGAGTGAGTGAGGGAGTGGGTGGTGAGTGGTCAAAATGTGAAGTTTGCTTTTGTCCCCCAGATTCGGTCAATGGCATCGTTTTCTGTAGGTATGTTTGGCAGTTTCCATTTTTTTATGTTTATGCATAACAGGACTGACTGTCCTTGAAGTCTTGCGGAGAAGCATGGAAGGGTGATAAACCTACCTATCTGCCGTTGTGGTGTTTCGCTTTTTTACACTCTGAAGCCAAACATGTATCCCTTTCTTTGGATATCACTCACTCATTTTGTGATCCGGATGCGATGCGAGTCGAGTCACTGCCTTTTATATGCAGTTTGATATTTTTGAGGCGTCGAGAGAAGAGTGAGTGAGTGAGTGCATGATTTGAAACGTGGGTCTTTCGATTTTGTAACTGAGATAAGAGGTATGATTCGAGGGGTGTTCCTTGCTAGGAAGAAAGTAGTTTCTCGTTTGTCGTGAAGCTCGTGTCAATAACCGAGTAGGTAGAGAGAGGTACCTCGATGTATCGACGTGTGCTAGGTAGAGGGTGCTGGGAATATTGTATTATATACCTACGATAGGAAGGAAAGCGGGCCGGAGGTTGAATGAATGGATTACTTGTAGTGTTTGATGGAGCCCAGATGATAAGGATCTAAACATGTTATATCTTCGAGTAAACATGTTGTTGTGGTCAGTTCATAACTGTCCAAGAGTGAAAGTTGCTTGCAAGCGGCGGAGTTGAAGGTTGTAGGGGACGATGATAACGGAGAAATGTTCAGCTTCCATCCTCACTTAGCATATTCTCATTTCTTTACACATATACCAAAGCCTCAATCCGTATATTAATTACTGCGGCAGCTTCAGGGTGATGAGTACCGATATCTTTGATATTAGCTTTACGCCTCATCCCTTTCAAGCTCGATAATACCTACTAAACTCGCCACAGAACATTGCGACACGCGGTACCATACAAGAAAGAATCACTACTCCTCGATATCAAATACGTATGCTACCTCAACAGTGCCCTGGGATTGAGAATGGGTAACGACATAAGTCTGCCTAGCCAACAAAGCATCTGAAGGGTGTCACAGAACGGGCGGGAATCCCAGTGCCACACCATCGGGCGCAGAGGACTTCTAAGCATTTCGTACTCGAGGGTCTAGACGCCCGTGACACATTAGTAGCGACATGATACTTGAGGTTTGAAAGAGGAGAACAAGTAGAAAGAAGACTTTGCCATTGATCATCACCATTGTTCTTCTTTCTCAACGTAGGCCACGGGGCGGGTGTCACGGGCTCACAGGGGAGAGACGAATGGATAACTGAACACTGCATTGTCGTGCGAGTATGCGTCCGCTCGAGTGTTTACTTGGGAAAGGGTCTTTCGTGGACCGAGAAACAAGAAAGAGAGATCTGATTGATTCGATGCTTCGATCTTTCCCCGCGTTACCAAGTTACCTAGGGATGCTCCCAGGTAGGTAATGTAGGTAAGGCATCTCGTGTAAGCACATCTGACTTGAGTGACTGAGTGACGATGCGATGAGTGGGTATCACAACATATCTGGCAGGCTACTCACTTGGCTAGTTGGCCAGAGGCAGTTGATGCTATGTACAAAAAATAGATAGATGACTTGCCTGAGTTGGTAGCAAGTAGCGAGTAATGGCTTCTTTGGTGTGGTAAGACGGCAATGGTCTGTCGTGGATCGTGGAAATAGTATTGTCGATGGTACGTCATCCCGTACCAATGCTGCTGCAGTTCAAAGTACGTGCAGGTAGTGATTCCTATTCTTGGGACGCCGAGCTCAAAAATCTATGTATGCTGAGTGTTGCTTCCCGGTGTCAAGCAAGCAGTGTCAGCTTATCGTCGTAGACAGCACTGGCTGGATGAATGTATATCGAGCCAGCATTCCGTCATTCCAGTTTGATTCCATAGATGCGCGATACAGATTTGGAATCTGGGTGGGCAGTTGCACAATATAGCGCCTTTCCCATTACTGAGAGACCACACTCCCCCTTCAATCATCCAATGGAATATTCTCTGCAAGTCTTAATTCACCTTTTGAAACACGCGCGCGAGGCCGCCAGTGGTAGGTACCGCTCTAGTTGACCTTGCATTGCCGGCAAAGGCTGGGGTCGCCCTCTTCAATCTTGCATGTTTCGGGAAGGCTTGCGCGTCTCGCAAGATCGAATGTGACTTAGTAGTGAGTGTCGGAAAGCTAGGGTGAGCTTGACTTGAGCTTGAGCTTTAGCGCAGTACTTGAAGATCAGAATCAAGCACTGGTACCTCGGCGTGCAACTTTCATCGTTCAATTTCGGTTGGAAACATGTGTTGCTCGTGTGTCTGTGTGTACATATGTGCCCCAGGGGTCGGGCAGGGGATCCCGTTTGGGAAGGAGGGGGAATTAAGTTGTAGTGCAATTGGTAACACGGGCATTGTCTCCTGAGTTGTGAGTGCAGTGTGTACTGGTAGGACAGAAACTAAGGGAATCCTTCCCGTCGTTGTAATCATGGTCGTCGTGGTACATGTCGAGGATTGATGGGCGTTTTACAGGCGCTATTTTGGCCCTACCCACGATAGTCAAAGTGCACACCACCATAGTGGGTTCAATGCGCTGGTGAAGTGTCACCAAGTGCTGTGCTGTGGTATGACCGTTCGTATGGCACTTGAACAAGGAATGTAGTAGTAGAGAGGTAAAGGGCTGGCCGGCCTCCCCCAGTCATCGAGATGGTGGCGTTTGTCCCTTGGTGAAGTCTTGAAGGCTCCATTCCGAATCAAAGGACGGGTTGTGGACGACGGTGGTAACCACACACATCCCCTCTTTGTGCACTTGTTCATTGCTTCTCCTCCGCGTGCCCCCCGTCTCATTGTCGTATTCTCTCCACCTTTTGATATGATAACAAAGGATAGATAGAGTTAGGGTGGCCCGAAGACATGAAACCGAAAACCTGGGGTAGGGAACTCCTGAATCGGTGGAGGACAAGAGGAGCTGAATGCTGAAAGCCAGCCAGGGGCTACAGTACACTACCTTACCTTTTTAGAACTCCCGACTCCATCCAGAGTGGTGACCTCAGCTAGCGGCTGAATGCGCCTCACACAGCCACCTTCTGCATCATGGCATTGATTGGGAATACGATTGGTTTTGTCTCCCCTGTTTGTGTCACGTCGCATACAGCGACTTTTTGTTGTCTCTCTTTCTTTCTGTCCCGTTTGCTTGGGAGAAAAAAAGAAGGAAGCAGATTTTGCGATTGCATACACTATACGGTTGGGCGATGACTGAGGGGAATGCTATCTTCGTTGTTGAATACGCCGCTTGCCGCGGCAGCCATGAGTTGTCCTGCCATGTCTGGTGGATAAATGATACTCGTCAAACAGGTACCTACTTACAGGAATACGGACCCAAGGCCATTGAGGGCTACCTACACTATACTGTAATTCGCCATGATGGAATACGGGCGTAGTGTAGCCACAACGTCTCTCAGTGGATCGTCCGGCGATGAGCGATTGCTCCGCGGCTACATGCTTCAAAATCCGAGTGGTGGTGGTAGTGGCAGTGGGTGCCGGTTAGTGAAGTCTTTGATACTGGCTCCCGTTCGCCCAAGTCCGCTGTCGTCCGCTTGGTGTGGTGGTTCCTGTGGTTCCTGCCGATCATCACCGGCGGCGTCTTCTGCCAAGTGACGAGATTTGCTTCTGGACCATGGCGTGCTAATCCACTTGCCGGACCTCCCATCCACTGAATACACTACACTACAGAATACTACAGAGTGAGGGATTAACACAGCCAGCTGCCCGGGGATATGGATGTGAGAAGCGGACAGAGCGGGATGGCATGTCTTGGAAGGTGGTCGACTCACGGTACGTAAAATCTCTGAACAGCGGTTCTGCTCCGAGGGTTTGGCCGTTTGGATGGGCAGGTGAAGCTCACCAATAGCGAGACCGGACGGGGGCTTCAACATGTCACTCTGCGGAGGCGTGGCAGTGACACAGGCCTCTTTCATGCGTGCGAGTTTGTACCCTAGCGAGGAAAGGGGCGAGTGTTTCAGAACGAGAGGCTGCCATCCCTCCCTTTTAGCAGTGGAGTGCTCTGGGAGGCCCCTCGCTGTAAAAAGCGGCCCACGTGAAAATGCCAATCGGGCGGCTCCATACCAGCTGGCTCCACCGGCTGCCACTCTGGCTTGGCCAATCATGGACGATAGGGGCCCGCCAGCTGGAGGTTGCATGCGTCAGCGTTTGGACCATTGGTGGTACCCAAAAACCACAGCAGCGGGATTGGAGCATTGGATGCACAATGCGTCTACCACTGCCGCTGCTACTGCACCAGGGGCACTACCGCCGAGTTGTGCGCCTGTTTTTTTTTACTTCCCGTCTCTTTTCCACTTGCTTGCGCTTTGAGCGTTTGACAACAACGAGTGAATGACCAGTGGCAGCCCAAAGGATCCCGTCCTGATGGCAGTCACACTGGTGACCAAGGGCCACACCAATGGGGGACGGGACGCATCGATGCCCTGTCTCATCAGTCTCATTGCAGAGCGGTTCTGTGACCAGAGAAGTAGTCTTCCATTCAAGTGATCGTCCTCCATCACGTCTTGCCAAATCCAATCCACTTTTGTCCCATTACACATTGCACATTGCACATACACCGAGATCGCATAGATCGAACAAGCACTCATTCACTGGACGGGAGCGAGGACGGCAGTTCTACACGTACATAGTAGAGTAGTGTACGTACACAGTATCACCGCCGCCATTCACCCGCCGCCCACTTCTTCCAAATCCGGCAAACCGTAGGAGAAATCCGCGAGACTTCCAGAAGCCAAACCCAAGAAGCTTAGTGATCCAAAGTGGCCATGGCATCGCGAGAGCGAGCGAGGTGCTCCGGGATATCCAGCACGCAGACCACTCAGCGTCGTCAGACGGTATGGTACCTGCAGTGACAAGACCCCTAGGGTGGAGGGGTTGTGTGGAAAAAACGCAGGGGGCTAGGGGTGTTCACAGGCTAGAGGTAGGTGGACAGGGAATGTATGGAAACACACAAGATCCGCCGAGCGGGTGTGGTGTGGTGTCCAGTGGGTGGCGTTCGAAACAAAAAAAAGGTACCTGCATGGGTGCGCTACCGGCAACGGCCCCTCCCACCCAATCGACTCTAGACGAACCGGCAGCTGGGAAACATAAAAGTCATCCAACTCCCCCTCAACACCTCATCTCTGCTCTTGACGATCACGGCACTCCCTTACACGTCTTTCCTCTCTCTCTTCGACCTTAAGTCACCCACCCCGTCAAGGGATTTCAAAAACACCCTTCTCTGCATTCCAGTCCTGCTCGGCTCTTCAGCCATTGTCTCAGCGTATTCCTAGCCCGGTGCTTGACTACGACCTGACCTTTCGTCTTGACTCAGACGAGCCATTCACCAAGCAACCTGATTAGCCACTCGACGGAACGGCACGACCTTATTCATTCCTTCCTATTGTTCACTTGCGTCAATAGCATAGAGCAGTGCTCATCTATCGACCCGGCAACAAGCAAACAAACTCTCTCTCTCAAAAACCACTCGACAACAACTAGACTTCGACTTTACGGTCCACCACACTCCCTCAACAACGAGAAAGGAAAGAACAACTAGATCAACCATCAATCACCATGATGTACAACACCTTCACCACCGGTCTCGTGGCTACCCTGCTTGCAGGTGCCCAGATCGCCTCCGCCCACATCGAAATGTCCTATCCTCCCCCCTTCAGGTCCAAGTTCAACCCCAACGCCGACCCCGGTAGCATCGACTACTCCATGACGGCTCCCCTCAAGGATACCGGCGCCGACTATCCTTGCAAGGGCTACCAGGTCGACTTTGGCACTCCTTCCGGCAAGAGCACCGCTACCTTTGTCCCTGGCCAGACCTACAACATGACCACTGCCGGCACTGCCACCCACGGCGGCGGTTCTTGCCAGCTCTCTCTCAGCTACGACAAGGGCGCTACCTTCACCGTCATCGAGTCCTACATTGGTGACTGCCCTCTTGCTGGCAAGTACGACTTCACCATCCCTGCCGATGCTCAGTCCGGCGACGCCATCTTTGCTTGGACCTGGCACAACAGAATCGGCAACCGCGAGATGTACATGAACTGCGCCCCCGTCACCATCGCTGCTAACAACAAGCGTGACGTTGCTGGTGCCGCCTTCTCCACTCGCCCTCAGATCTTTGTCGCCAACGTCGGTAACGGCTGCAAGACCGACGAGAATTTTGACGTCCAGTACCCCCAGCCCGGCCCTAATGTTGTGAAGGCTTCGGATGCTCCCCTCAAGGGCCCTGAGGGCAGCTGCGGTGCCTCTGCTGCTCCTGCTGGTGGCTCTGACTCTGGCTCTGGCAGCGGTGCCTCCAGCTCCAGCTCTGTCGCTGCTGCTCCCGTCACCACCAGTGCTGCCGCTCAGACCAGCGCTGCTACTGGCGGTAACCCCGGCGGTATCTTCATCACTGCTCCCTCCGACGGTTCTAACCAGGGCGGCATCTTCCTCCCCTCTGCCACCGACATCGTCAACGCCCCTAGCTCCAGCGCCGCCGCTGTCGTGAGCTCCGCCTCTGTCTCCGTTCCAGCTGTCGCCACCTCTGCTCCTGCCGTCGCTACCACCCAGGCTCCCGTTCAGACCACCCTCCAGAGCATCGCCAAGCCCAGCACCACCGTCGTCAGTGCTCCCGCTCCTATTGCGACCGGCACCGCTCCCGGCAATGGCACTGGCTCTGGTTCTGGCTCCGGCTCTACTGCTGGCGCCTACGCCGTTGGCACCGCCTGCACCACCGAGGGCGCCTGGAACTGCATCGGCGGCTCCTCCTTCCAGCGCTGCGCCAGCGGTGCCTGGTCCGCCGTCACGCAGATGGCTGCCGGCACTAGCTGCTCTGCCGGCGAGAGCGCTCAGCTCAAGATGATCGCCAAGAAGCACCTTGGTCGTTACCAGAGGCGTCATGGGTACGCCCACCTCTCCAACTAAGGGGTCAACAGTGTAAAGGAGTGGACAGCACAGCATCATATGATACCCCCACATGTAAAGCACCTATCTTCCGTTTGTTTTGTTTTATCATCTTGAAATATTCGGGCTTTGGTCAGCTAGCTGGCTTTTTTTTTTTTTTTTTTCACTTTTGCCGATCCTCGATCGATTTCAAACTTCACTTCGCACATTCTTTTTTCGCCGCAAGTTTATATAACCCGTGCTACACCTTGCAAGTTGTACTTGGATAGGTCGTACACTTTTTTCAAATCCCAATTTCTTTCTGAATATTTCAAGATCCAAAGACATCGAACGAAGAACCAAACAACGGAGATTTGGGGCGTGTGTGCTGGCAGGGACAATAGAGCAGAGGAGGCAGTAGTTGGCTAAAGACAAGCAAAGACAGCATTTCATGACAAGGCGTTTACTTTTCAAATTTTAACGTTATGATGACAAAACTGGGAGGCACAGCTGGCTTGTTGATGACCATACAAGGAATACCAAGGGAGGAAAAAGGAACTCGGATAGGAATTTGGCTGGGCGGGACAAATGGATTCACTCGTTTCGCTGTACATAGACTAGGATTGGTAACAAAAAAAACATGCAATTACTGCATTCGTTCATATTACGAGAACCAAGCTCCGTGCTGCTGCTCATTGGTGAATTTCAAGAAATGAGCATCTTGAAGGAATGAACGACTGGCTCTAAACGATTCATATGAGGGTGCGTTCGCCACGATGCCTGGTGCGAGGAATTGGCAAGGTTTAAATCTTTACACATCCTGACGAATGGATCACTAGGACTCGCAAAGACTGAAGTCAAACACAAACAACAGTGCAAAAAGAAGGTCGATCCTCCCAGCGCGAACTGGATTGAGCTCACCCTCATCGTCGATAATCAGGATGCGGACGTCGCCAGCTGGGTAAAGGAAGTGGTTGCCGAAGATGAGCTCATCCTCAAGATCGCTTTCACTGTCGTCGCGTCCATCATGAGTAAGCTGAATCTCCGCAATAGCCGCACCACCTATCTCGCCGGCGTTTTTCTCGGGCCTTACACAAGCGGAAATGGCCGCCGAGATCTAACGCATAAGGAGGAACGAGAAACGAGCGGAGAAAATCGCCAAAGAAACCACAGACGCAAAGAAGCAGCAACAATTCGCTCACAACAAGTAGCGGGGAGATAGAGACGCTACCGAAAGCCCAGAAACCCGCAAGGTAAGACTTGCGAAGCAAACAGCGTGGGCGAGAAATCATCTTGCCAATGAAACTCTAGAGCACCGTGAAGCCAGGCTGGAAACCATGAAGAAAAGGTATCGCGAGAGGGAAACTCCTGAAAAGTCGACCTGTTCCGTCAAATTGAGATACCACCTCTCTAGGGTCCTGGACTCAGGTGCGTGGCCCATTGTGAGCCGTGCGTGTTCTGTACCAGCTTCCCGAGTTATGTCGTTCGCCGCTTTTCTTCTAAACGAGTAGAAGGATATCGACTTGGAATATCCAAATTATTGACCCCTATTGGCGAAGTAATTGGACAACGCTTTTGAGGAAGAGGGTACAAAGTTTTTTTTATAAGACTAGTGCCTTTAGGGAGTACGGCGACGAATATCGGTTGTCCAAGGCTGTTAAGCCTTGATTAGTGTGGTTGATCATTCTCAAGTCTCCGGCAAAAAAGCTCGTCTAAGGTTGTAATCCCCTAGAGAATCCCGCGTCGTAGAGCAATAACCAGGAGTCGGTGTAGGACAAAGAAAATAATTTTTTGATGTTGCTGTGGAGATCGAAAGAGCAAAACAAGCTTTCTGGCTATAGCTCCTCCTCCTCTCTTTCCCAACGTAGCGGAGTCGCAATGCAGGTTGGACTTCAAGCGCAAGGCCAGGTTGGCATATAACAAGGAGTATAAGAAGAACCGCCTTGACAATGAGACGCCAGATGAACGGGAGGCTACCTGGGCTAGTAAGGAAGAGGGAGATCGATAGGAAGCTTAGGATAACGAAACCCCAGAGCAACGCGCTGCAACAAATGCGAAAATAAATCAGCGCCACAAAGACAAGAAAGCGGCAGAAACGAAGGAATCTTCTCGGCTAGTGAGGGGTATGTTGAGAACAAGGACTTGGGCTAATGAGTGGCTGTCCGTCAACCGGGCGAATAAATAAACCTACCTACCCACCCGAGCCGGCGTTTATGATGCACTGTCCATACTATATTGCAATCGCCACTCCGTAGGGCGTTGCTTACCAGTGAGGTCGGCACAGGCAAAACCCTCATCTATGGCGCCGTCCTCTTAATAGAGTACCTACGACTGAAAAAGCTTGAGGAGAAGGGAGAGTCCTTCGAAGCCTTCCCCAGTATTATCGTCTTACCGTCTAGTCTAGCCGTGCAGACATTCAGTAAACTCCAAAACACTTTCAGCGACCTAGATTTACAGTGCTGGTAAGAGATATCGAAAAGTGTCAACTCAGAGGACCCGCGGCATAGTAAAACTTTGGACAACAAACGTTCGACAATCTAATGAAGGATTGATGGTATACGCGAGCGCAACCGAGCATCGACCGCCCGGAAAGGTTATTATCGCGGCAGAGACTACGTTGACCAATAGATGGGCTGATGGAGAACACATTGTCAAACTCCCGCGAGGGACACCGTCCCGCCATGCTGACGAACTTTGAAGAGACCTACCCGGTGATTGAGAAGCGATTGTGGGCCTCGTCATCTAGAGTTCTTAGCCAAATTGCAATAAATTCCCATGATGTCTCATTAGAACTCATCACGGCCCGTGCCCTGGTCACCCAATGACGGGTGTTAGACAGGATGGTTTTTACCTACCCCGGTACACACACCTCGGTGTGGCCGCTAAACATGGTGAACATCGCCGAACACTAAGGGTGTCGGTGGCCAGCTAGCTGTACAGATCGAATTCGCCAATCGAAAAGCAAGGATGGGTTGGTGAACTCGAAGCTGAAACTGAACCGTTCATGGGCATGGAGGAAGGTGTGATGAACTTGGTTCATGATTCTTCACATGATTGGATCATAAGAGCAACTGCCAATCGGGTACTGACCATGACTTCCTTCCCACCGTCGCCGCGATGGCTGGAGGGGGAACACGGAAATCACGACCCCCAGGGTTGTTCTTTCACATTTTCCATAACTTCATCATCACTGGAGGAAACTTCCTGAACTTGACTCTGGGGACCCACCAAAGCATGAGGTATATAGACCCATCACCAGCCCAGGATAACCATCGAAAGCCCGCATGGCTCAGTGGTAGAGCGCATCACTAGTAGCGTCATAACCGACAATACATGATGAGGTCGTCAGTTCGATTCTGGCTGTGGGCATTTTTTCTGTGCACTAAGGTTCCTTTTTTTGCCTGTCTTTGGGCGTGTTTTGTTTTTCTTTTTTGCTGAGCTTAAAGGGAACGCCACGGTGTGGCCAACAACCTGTTTCTACAGGTGTGGGTGGTCGCGTATAGAGCAAAAGTCGGGTCGGCGGAACCAACAAGTATGGCGGGCGTGCAGCACTCGGTTGTAGAAAAGTTGTAGGCGACGCCAACATCAATTGCGATGGCAGTATTAACGACGATAGAGTAGAGTAGAGTACCGTATGCAAGATGCCCGAATTCTTGTTGTGCACGAGTCCGAAACGGGGGGCCAAAGGAGGAACTTGGTAGCGGTTATGCGTAGTCGACTTCTTCAACCAAAATCTGCCGAAGCGAACTCTTCGGATCCGTCAACCAAGCTCGGCTGGTTGAACCGGTTGCGCGGGAGGTTGAAATGGCCGTAAGTGGTCTCGAACATGTAAGCTTCCCACACGATCTTTTGCGCAGCCTTGTGAGTACCTCTGAGAGCAGAAAGGGGCGCCGGATGAGTTTTGATGTAGGCTACGAGAGCGGTTGCTTCTTTGGGTGAGAGATCCCATGGAGTTGTAATACTCTTGATGCGTTCTTGCTCATCGGCTATTTTCATTGCTTTGACCTGTCTTCGAGTGGCTTCGCTGAAAAGAATTTGGACCGCAGTCCATCTTATCCGCCGCTTATAGTTTCGAAGCTCCGCGGGCGTTGGCTGTTGTGGGTATGATTCGTCTTATTCCATGATTTTGTTCATGGTTGTGTTCATTTAGAAGCGGCCCAAATACTGCGCTGGCTTCATCATTACGCAAGACGTTAAGCGCCAGCTCGGCCTCCCTCGTTGCCATACGGTCTTGGTTCTCCTCTTCGCCTAGGGCGATGGCCGTAAACGTCCAGCGTCCGTATCGAATCGATGTAGTATCTTTCCAGTGTCCGGGTTTCTGGATCATGGTTCAGCAGCGCTCTGGCGTTTTCGACACCAACTCTTCTGTGTCTGGCGAATTCGTTGGCACTCCTTCGTCTCAGCGAGTAAAACGTGATGGTTTCTGGGAAACTACGTTTCATTCCTCGGTCTTTGAGGTTAGAGTGTCAGCGAGTGCGCACTGACGGGTTTGTTTGTCTGATACAACCCTATCCCCTTTAGCCTTGGATTGTAGGAGGACCGGGTCGTCCAGGTATCTCTCCTTGATGATGATGTTCCGCCGGTCTCCATCCAAAAGCTCGTCAATGGTGCTGTAATGCTTGAGGATTCCCCTCCGGGAGGGCGATCAACAGAAGCCTCTGATGCGGGACAGATAGAAACATGCTATCTGCCTCTTGGGCGGGCATGATGTTAAAACATTTGGTGCGCATGGCATCGGGCTTGAAAGTGGAACGCTCGGCGTCGTGGTCGTAATTCGTCTTAAAGCACCGAATGGTAAGCCGAACCTCAAACATCCCCGGGCTCTCTCCACGGGAGATGGAAACGTCTTTCTATTTTAAAAAACATGCCGTCGTCGCGCATGCTTGGGTGGGACCAGCCGAGGCTGCCTGGTCGAAGGGCACATATGCGGCCCAAAGCCCAAGCAAGATGGTGGACCTCGGCCACTTCTTGAGATCCCGTGTGGAGGATATCGTGATCGATCAGCATCCGCAACTCTGGGAGGCCGACGTCGTTGCAGTAAGTTCGTTTGGACCTGATGCCGGTCTCCAGAAGTCCCTTGGCCGCAATATACCTCATCGTCGTAGTGAGGCTGTTCCTAAGCGTTGCTAGGGAGAACTTTGGCCCCTCGTGAAGGGTCCATGTTCTGTTGGCCCGGAAAATGAATGCGTCCTAATACTGGGTATAGTAGAGATATTGAAGATAATCGGGATTTTCCATCCGGTCTTCCAATTCTAAAGGCCTATCGTCCAGGACAGAAGGCCATATAAGGACGACGAGAGGCATTAGGCAATACCTATTAGAGGCTTCTGTAGTATCGTAAGTCCTTACTATTATCCTATATCGCTTCCAACCGAGGAAAGTTTCTCTTTTGAAAGGCTACCTGCCGGTTTCCTCGGTCCAAGTGCGGTAACAGTCCAGGATGCTGGGGAGGTAGATGCTATTCTATCCGCATAGGTTAGCGATAGCGTTCCTGACGGTTTGCGCCTAAGCCTCCATCTGAGTTGCCGCCGCTCCCACCGCGTTTCCGGCGCCAGCATCGGATTCTAATCCACTTCTACCTTCGTAATAGATTGTTAGGTTTGATCAAGCTCCGGATAAGGATGTTAAGGTATTTAAGCCTAAGTACCTACTCGAATTAGCCACCTGTCTTCGCGCCGAACAGCCTGTCGTTTCGAATACGGATATTCTACCACCTCTATATCGCACATTGTTAGTGGTCTTTTGTACTCTGGCCGAAGATGATGACTGTAGAGACTGGTCAGCCCAAACACACGACAGACATAAGTTGACCACCAAGATTGAGGCCGTTCACGATCCGAAACTTGCTCTTCTTGGCTATCTCCGAAATGAGGCCGACATCACCGATACGCTCATTCGAGACATTGAAGCGATCCTGGAACATGACGACCGGGAACTTCAGGGTCGTATCAAACTTCGGTGGCTTACCTACCAAGACTGCCGACCCAAGTCCCTCTGCTGCACTCGAGAGATTGGCCAACGCATCCGATCCCGACGAAGCCAATCTTGCGACGCATGAGCTCGCACTCACGTACATGATGCGCGGACATCTCCTAGCTCGCCGTCTGATTGCCATCTTGAAGGAGAAGAAGTCGTAGGATCAACGGGCTATCAATATAATTAGGGACGATGAAATATAGTAGTCGATGAAACTGACAGGAAATCATCTAGGAGGTGATAGTGCGTAGTAAGTATATATAAAGTTCCTAATATACAAAGAAAAAGGAAGGCACTCTAAGACAAATATACCTCTAACACCACACACTTCACTCGTGTGGCTGCCCATGGCGATGTCATAGAGCGCGGACATAAAATCTTCGTTTCTTAGAGTGTCGCAACCTAGGCCGTTATAGACCTTGCAGTCCCGGCCTTCGCCGATGAGGAAGTGGATGATTGCTGTGATTGTCTTGAGGCTGCAGTATTTCTCTGCCCAGCTCTTTTTGGCCAGATGCGCTTTCCAAGAGAAGGGATCTCGACCCAGGTTACTGATCTTCTGGTGAAACCACCAAATCCTGTAACCAACCAAACCAATATTGGAAATGGCCTACTAGTATCAAGGGCTTTTTATATAAAGTCCTGCGGTAGAGACAGTATTAGAGGTGGAGGACGAAACCATGTATTGGAAAGATAAAACCATATATATGGAGGACAAAACCATATATGGGATGGATAAAACTATATATGGGAAGGATAAAACTTCATCGGTGTCCTATACTGCACATATACTTCCGCGAGCCTAACTTTGAGGATAACAAGTTGACCTGGTTCATTACCGGATACATTTTCTCGGCAGCGTATAGAACGTATAATAAGAACCGTACTAGCCTCCTATTGTAAGAGAGTTTAGACTTAAGGCCGCTAAAGATCGCGGGTAAGCCTGTGAGAGATTATTGAGCAATAGGAAGAACTTTGGGATACGGGCTCTACAGTGAATGAAAGGTGGTAACCAAGATCCATAAGAAGGTGTTGACGATGCACTTGTTGGGCACGAAGATATCGAAGACACTTGTCTCAACGGTACAGGTGTGGAGGACGAGATTCCAATAGTAGAGTTGGAAATAACCTCGATACTGGAACACTTCGGAAGAGGGAAAAGAACTGCGCCATCTCCGAGCTTCGCTTCAGCACCAGACCTCAGCCGACGCTCAAGTTTACCGTCGCTTCGGGTGTGGCCTAACGAGAAGAAGAATGGGCATGGGTATGCCTTATAAAAACGTCCTCCTTGACGAGGGTTCGTGACTATGGCACGGAAGGGCGGCCGTTATTCCTGTGGGTTCGATGGCTGCGAGTGGTGGTGTAATGGCCCAGTTGAGGCTGGTTGGGCTTAGGGAAGGGATGAAATACAGCATTTGCGGCCATATATCCGAGAATGAATACTATAGCCGCAGCCGCAATGCGGTCAACACTATTATCAAAGCAAAGGGGACCGACCCACGCAAAGGTGTCGACGATACCCTCTCACCTAGTGCATTCAACCGCCCAATTAGCCACGTCATGATGAAGGCCGCATACCATAACATAAGCGTTGGAGCTGCCAATTCAAAGTCGGATTGGATATTGAACCTTGACAAGATGGGATTGATGTCGATGATCAACGAGAAAGACTGACGTTTCTACCCCTCCAACCAGTCAGCTATCATTGCATACTGGGATACGGAAATAGTTTCCCCGGTTAGACAACAGATGAGACGTATGTTGGACTACAATGTCGACTCTGCGGTCACCGCGTCCAATACCTACAAACCTCAGTATGCGTAAACCATCGGCTATAATAAATTGAAATTGAAGTCGTACGCAGTGATAGCGGTCTATATGAGGGACGTAGGTCTGGTTGACGACTAGTATACGGCCATCACGGAGGCACGCCGCAACTGGATTAAATCGTACGCCTGGGAGGGATATAAGACGGACTCAGATCACCAGGACAAGAGTATTCCATCGCCGGACCAAGCTGGGTTTACCTTCCGAATAATCGAGTGACCCAGAGGTGGCGTGTGTTTTATTTCCTCCCGAAGGAAGGAACCCTCGCAAGCTCTGAGCTCAGAGGTCTTGGGAGTCAAATTCCAGACGGGTCTTTACTGATGGGAAAGTGCATATCAGCAACCATAGCCAGGGAGAATCACAGTGTGATATAGTAAGTAGGACAATGGAGTGAGCGCCTTCTAAGTAGTCACATGCTGGCGATGATGGGTTTGACCAGGCAGGCACCTAGGCTCGTCCTCGACAAAATCCTTGAGAACCTCGACATTACACCTTGGGTATACCCTTATTACGCACCCAAGCATCTTTATTACACCTTTGAACTTGATTTTCACGCGATTCCTGGACAGAAACATGCCAAAGGGACTCTAGCTAATGTGTTTTTGAATGATTATAATCCTTATTACAAATTTGCAACAGCCTCTGCTAACTATACCGAACGGTATCGGACTGATTCAACTTGACTAATTCATTCATTGCCCGCTCAGCAAAGCCGAGTGAGTGTCAGAGAAAGGAGATACGGAAGGAACGGGTTGTCACTTGTTCAGAACGCCTCTTTTTGATGGTTCTCCCCCCCCCCCGCCGGAATGCGTACCTAGGTAGGTAGCCCTTGGAGAATATCGAAAATTGTACAAGGAAGTTTCTTCCAGCCTGGTACATGGAATAACCAAGCGTGAATCTACATACCACCAAAGGAATTATCGGTGTGAGTCTAGATGTGAACGTACCCCGAGTTAGGTAGTCACTGATCAATAGGGGTGAAACACATTCCTGCCAGCGTTGAGGTCTCCTAAGTGACGGCATGACTGAACCGCTGAATAGCCAATTGATGGCCAACCTCCATCCATAACAGCAACTGAGCGAAGAGGTAGTCAGGCACGCGTCAGGGTCACTAATGCCGGACAACAGGAAGTTACCGTAGGCAAACTATATATAATGAACTTCCAAGTGCTAGCTCATGTCTGCGAAAGAGAAGTTAAACGACGGGGTAAAGGTATTGTCTCTGTCGAGGAACTATCTTCCACGATCTAAACCCCGGAGACCCGGAGAGGCTGTGTTGATCGAGTATAAGACGCATTCCTTCCCGCCTTCGGGTCTCTTACATGACGGCATGGTCCAATCGGTGATGACCGAGCTCCTTCTACAAGGCTGGCGAACATAGCCAAAGTCGCCGAGGCAGGCAGTGATGACTTCATCAAGGGTCACAGTTGACAGGGAAGGTAACGATGAAAGTAAAAGGATTTGAACTTTTTTTGCCATGCCATTTTGCAAAAGAAACCCCGTCAACCGTACACCATCCCAAGCCATTTCATGTTTTACCCCTCAAAAATAGCGTAGACACATTCAGCCATCCATCCATGTATGTAAACGAATCCGCTCAAACATTCATTAAACAGCAAGTCCAACAAACCTCCAAAACCCAAGCCTAAGCCTTAACCATAGCAGCCTCAAAGCTCTCCTCCAAAATCTTCAACCCCTCTTCGATCTCTCCCTCCGTCACCAACAAGCTAGGCACAAACCTGAGGGTGTTCGTTCCCGCGGTAATGACCAACAGTCCCCTCTCCCGCGCAGCCTTAATCACAGGGGTAGGATCCTCGCTCAACTGCAGGCCCAAAATAAGTCCCTTGCCCCTGACCTCCTTGACCAAGCTCGGGAACTTGTTCCTGAGCTTCTCAAACCCTCGCAGGAAAACCTCGCTCTTGGCCTTGACTCCCTCCTGCAATTGCTTATCGGCCAGCCTACCAACAATGTAATGCGCCAGTCTGCACGCAAGCGGGTTACCGCCAAAGGTAGTACCGTGGTCGCCGACCTTGATCTTGGAAGCGACGTGCTCGTTGACGATCGTAGCGGCGATGGGGAAGCCGTTGCCGATGGCCTTGGCGGTCGTCAAGATATCCGGGTGAGCTTCCTTGGGCAAGGAAGAGTGCGCCCAGAAGGTTCCCGTGCGGGCCAAACCGCACTGGATCTCGTCGTAGTGGAGCAGCGCGCCCACCTCGCGGCAGCGCTTACCCAGCGCCACGAGGAATTCCTCAGTGGCGGGCATCACGCCTCCCTCACCTTGGATGGGCTCGACGATGACGGAGCAGGTCTTTTCGGTGACCAAAGAGGGGATAGCGGCAATGTCGTTGTAGGTGCCTACTTTGAAGCCGGGGACCATGGGCGCAAAAGGGGCCTGGTACTTGGGGTTGGGCGTGGCGGAAAGGGAACCCATGGTGCGGCCGTGGAAGGCGTTTTGGAAGCAGACAATTTCGACTTTGGAACCGGAGGGGTCGAGTACCTTGCCGACTTTACGGGCGAACTTGATACCGGCTTCGTTGGCTTCGGACCCGGAGTTGCAGACGAAGACGGAGGAGGCGTCGTGCATGCCGCCCGAGGCCTTTGTGGATTCGACGAGGAGCTTGGAGAGGGCGCCGGTCCAGGGGTTGTAGTAGAGGTTGGAGGCGTGGACGAGTTCCTGGGCCTGTGGAGGCAATTGTTAAGTCAGTTGACAATCATCCATCTTGAATACAAGGAGGAGTTGAGTATGACGCACCTGCTCAGCAATGATCTTGGAAAACTCCTCATCACAATGACCGAGCGAGTTGACAGCAATACCCGACGTGAAGTCGAGGTACTTGCGGTCCTCCAAGTCCCAGAGGTAAGAGCCCTTGCCCTTGACGAAGACGGGAGGAGGGCGAGAGTAGGTGGTCACCATGTAGGGGACGTGCTCGCGGACCATCTTGCCGCTGGGCGAATCCTCGGTCGGGTCGGGGTGGGTGAGCTGAGAGGCGGTGGCATAGGAGCGGCGGGCAGCAGCAGCACCGGCACCGGCGCCGGTGAGGCGGGTGGCAGGCGCCGCGTTGACGGCCGCGACCCGGCGGAGGGCGGTGCGGAAGGCCATGATGACGGACTGACGGACGGGTGGACGGAGAAGGAGGCCAGATGAGGGAGAGAGGTGCAAAAAAGGAAGAAGAGGCTTGCCCGGTGAGGGAAAGGGTAGGTAGATAACACTGCAAAGATTAGGTGGTGGAAGACGGAGTCATGGACTTCCCCAGATTAGACAAACGTAAATTAAGTGGATTCGTTGGGACGAACGGGACGGGATTGACAGGGACCAAGACGGGAAGACAAACAACGATAATAGCAACAAGAAGAGTTCAATTGACGCCAGAAAAGAAGTTTATTTTACAACAATGACAGCGACAACATGTGATTGACGAGAACCCAAAGACAAATCAGTCACGCCATGTGAGTAACTAAACTGCCCCTGGTTATCTTCGCCAGTCAGTCAGTCATACATAGTGTACAGTCATTGTCACAGGACAAGAAAAAAGCTCGCCTCGCTAGGATGCGGAGTATACCGATTTCGGGGGTTTCCCGTAAATTTTGGCCGAACACTCGTGCGATAGCTATCGATTAGATCCTTTTGACCAATTGGCTTGTCGAAATCCATCAAGGTCCCCCTTATCAGATCTTTAGTAGCTGAACTGAATGGGGTGTGTTTTTGGGCTTGGAAGATGCCAGTTTGAAGTTGATGAGCATGTCGTTGTCTTTATCTCGTCATCTCGAAGATTGGGGACCAGTGAGTCCGGGTAAAAATGATTCTTGACTTTCCGGCTTCGCGGCTTGCAGTTCCCCGTTGTCGCGCTGTCCCGTTGTTGGAGCGGATGGACCTGGCCTGGCTTGGGTTGACATCGGGATGAAGCACAGGTCGCCGCTTGCGCAATGCAACTGAAGTGACTCAACTTGCTCGTTCTTGGCTTGGCCAGGGTTAGGAGAAACTGAGCTGAGCCTCAACCTTCACAGCCTCATTTCATCCAGGCGTGGCTGAGAGAGCACAGCACAGCTGGCAGCACCAACCTCCCACTCAGCACCTGGCAGCAAGCTCACAACGGCCTGACAAGGGCCTGCCACCCAGCTGACCAAAACCCATAAGCTCCACTCAAATTTTCAAAGCTTTCACTCGTGCACAGACCCCATTCCCCTCCGGTCTGAAGGGTATAAAACATCGTCCACCCAGTCTCGCTTTTAGACTTTTTTCTCTCTTTTCTTTCCTCGCCCTTCGGGGCAATTTGGTCAATTTGAAACGATACAGAGAAGATTAGCATGGCCCCTGCACTAAGGATGACACGCTACTCAAAGAGACGCTACCAATTTTTTTTTTTCACTTTGATCTTAGCCTGAGCGGTTGGGACATTGGGAAGAAAACGGTTCTGGTCGTGTGCGGTTGTGATGCTGTCTCGTTGCCCCGATGTTTCTCAAAGCTTTCCCTATACATTCACTGTCCCACCACCACCCTGGAGGTTTGGACGGCGCATCCAGAAGTCATGAACTTGAAATCAATTTATTTCACCCGCCCACTGCACTCAACACCTAACTGATCCTACTTTGCCTCATGATATTTCCCAGCGCTATCCAAAACTAGTATTAATTCTGTGTGCGTGTTTATCATTAATCATCAACCACCGAGTCACCCAATCCAGTTCATTGTGTTACTGGCGCATTTCCCAATCAACCTTGCCATCCTGCCAACCTGCCTCCCTGATTGACAAACTACTCACAACTGCCTCCCACCATCCATGATGTTTACCACCACCCTCTGTCCATCATCGTCATCATCGACATCTGTCAGTGTCCCTGTCTATGATGACCTCGTCCATCACCTCCTCCTCCTTGTCCGTTCCGTCCTCCTCCACCATGATCACTTCCCCGCCTTCCTCCGCCATCGTCATCGTTTCCTCTGCTGTGACTGCTTGACCCATTCCCACTCCCACCATCACCACCACTACCGCCGGTAATAAACGTCTCATCAAATAACCCATACAAAGCATACGCGTCAAAATTAGATAACGACTCCATCATATGACTGTCCCCGATGGCGTCTAGGCCCAACACATCCGGCAAGTTGTGGAGGTTGATCTCGTTGCACTCAAACATAAAGTCGGGCGTAAAAGCAGAGTAAAGACCTGTCGAGAAGGTGTTCTGGCTGAAGGGATCGACTACACCGAGTCCGGGGTTAGGACTGGGGCGTGAGGTTGCTTGGTGATAATAGTCATTGTTGTTGGTAGTACTGTTGTGGTTGCTGTTATCATACGAGTTGTTGTTGTTGTTGTTGTGCTGCTGCTGCTGCTGCTGCTGTGGGTAATGAGTCTGGCCCTGGGTTTGGTAGGAAGGGGAACTGTTGTGACCGCTGTGTCCGTGATGTTGCTGTTGTTGTTGTTGTTGTTGTTGTTGTTGTTGTTGTTGTTGTTGTTGTTGTTGTTGTTGTTGTTGTTGTTGTTGTTGTTGTTGTTGTTGTTGTTGTTGTTGTTGTTGTTGTTGTTGTTGTTGTTGTTGTTGTTGTTGTT